ATTATATACAGCTATTTTTATATTTAATTTATATATATATATATATATATATATATATATTTATTTATTTATATTTACATTATATGTATATAAATATCATCTGCACACGCACTCACATCGCACTTTCACACACAGTTCATTTTCTTTCTAAGTTCACTCTTGACGCTTTCACGATAAATGTCATCTTTTTAACGTTGGTAAAGAAGACAACAAAACATTTTCATCTAAAACAGTTCTGTAAGGGCAAATACAAATATTAAAGTGCTTCTCTAAGGATATATACACAAACTGAAACGAGAAAAATATGTTCTCTTATTACCCGAGTTTGTATGGGTTATTCCCGATTATAGTACGTAAAAGGTGCATTTTTAAATTAAAATTTAAATGTTAATTTTATTTAATTTTAATTAAATCAGCTTTAATTAATTAATTATTTTTAATTAATTAATTTTATTTAAATTAATTTTAATTAAATTTAAAGTTGATCAAGTTCAATTTGGTTAGGTTTAATTGATTCAACTAATTTATAAGCTTTACTATTCAACAAAGTGTTCAACATTTAAAGTAAACATTATATAATAGATAACTCATACAAGATGCTTCAGTAAAGTGTCTTTAAATAGGAAGATTTCTGTTTAACGTATTTATGATTCGAAAATATACTGCCCGTTTCATTCTGTGCATACATCTCTTATTTCGATGTAATATGCAACATATATAAATCGCTGCAAAGAAACATCAGCGATAAATCATCTTCTTTGATTGCGCATTGCGTTAAATAAAAGTATGTTCAAAAAACGTTTTCTATAAATTCAAAGTAACAACAATTTAGACTTGTATCAATAAGAAACGATGGAAGAAAAATTCAACACATTAACTATAGGTCTGTTCTTTATAGCTGAACTGCCTGCACTAATTATTTCTTCCTCTTTTTTTTTTTTACACGGTCACATTTATACGTCTGTTTCAAGTTCTAAAAGTGTGCACTCGTTCAGCGACAAAGAACAGACTTTACGTCAACTTAAATTTTTGGCAGTTATGTATGTTGAGTATTTTAACACGCTATCATCTAATACCGATACGTTTCTCGACTCTTCTGACGATCCTTGGTAACGGTAGCCATACTAAAGTACTTTGAGGCCTTGCTTCCCGAATTTTAGACAAATGTAATTGTAAATGTTCATTCGCATTACTACAAGTTGGCAGTGGACACGACATCCGTTTCTGTATTACGTTCGTTCTGTACGTTCGTACGTCACATCGTAGTCAAGCGGGGGTCCACCTAACGAAATCATATAGAGAGGACAGGCTCCATCGTGAAGCCGTCGGTAAAAATGATTGATTTATGGCACTTTACATACAACACCTCTAGAATTCAAGGGAAGAAATAAATACATAAAAGAACATAATAAATCACAAAATATATCATCTGTGATACGAGAGAACGGTGGTCGCCCACAGAAGACGTTGCCAGATCCATCGCGGCACTCTGCACGGCACGAGATTGGTCATCGCTCCGGCCAAATGACGCACCCAGTCCCAGATACCCCACGGCGCATGGCCACCGTTCACGTAGAGAACGTACATGAAGCCGTCTTTACACTTGCCGCGAATCGAATAATAGTACGGAAGGAAACTGTGCAGTCGAAAGTGGCACCTCTGGTAAAACAGTATAGCGGGAACATTGCTGGAGAGTACGTGTAGGAAGACTGCCTTAACCGAGGAACGTTCGGGAGCGGTGACATGGGCCAGTAGCTGTTCCAGGAGCAACGAAGCTATCCCGTTCCTCCTGTACGCGCGACGCACACCTAAGCTAAGTATGTAACCTACTAGACAATCCTTTCCTAAACTGGAACACAAGATACCGCGTTCTTCCTTATTCAGCTTGGTGTACGGCTTGATCTCAGCAATGATCAGTCCTATTATCACTCCACCGTATACTGCCGCAAGTGCGTAGAACTTCGAGGAGCTTGTAATCTCTTCATACCATGAGTAAGGGTAATCTGCGGAGGGAAAAATTCAATTACAATCAAGCAAAGTACTCTCTCCCGAATCTTTCTCTACCAATAACAGAAAAACAAAAAAATACTCAATGTCCACAAGTAATATTTCAGTACTATAGCTAGACAATTCGACGAACGTTTCTGCGAATGACATTGGACTTATCTGTTGTTATCAGTCTTGGTCTATGAAAAAAACATTACATTCCGAAGAGAACCTGTGTTATCACTGATATCAGGCAAAGGTGATCTGTCGGTACCCAACAGAATTCAGAAATATCTTCAACATCATTCGAGAAAACAATATCACATGTCCACTCTACAAAGACAAGAGAGAAAACTTTGATATTTCAGGAAAGAGATGACGATCCCAAGTGTCATCGCGAGGAGCGGTATCACGAGCTCACCTATCGGGAACCAATCCTGACAAAGCGAACGCACTTCCTCCAGGTCGTCGGGACAGAGGAAACGCAGCTGCACTTCGCCTAGCACGCACAACGGTACCGTCACCGGCGTCACGGCGGTGGTCGTCGCGGTGCCGCCGGTGGTCGAGCAACGAAGAGCGACGGTCTCGCTTGTGTAAGAACGCTCGCCATCCGGTTCGGCGGCAGAGGCACCGACGACAGCACCAGACTCACTTCTCTCGATCTCCGGTAGGATCAGGTACCGGTTAAAGGACACCGCCATCGCGCCGCAGCAACTTCTCGATCATCATCTTACGGCTGATCGTTTGCGGCCGCCGAGGCAATGCGCGCGAGACCAACAAGGCATGAACGAGAACGTCACGTCGTCACCACGCGGCTGCCGCTGGTAAACACGCAGCGGCGCGTCGTGAACATTTTGTTTTTGTCCGTTGGTTCGTTAGCTGGCTGGCGCAACGCCGTTCACGACGTCCCTTCGCTGACGAATACGGCAGATGTGACACTCGCTATCTCGTGCGCGCGCCCGGCTAATGTAAACGTCCTTCACGTTCATCGCACGCGGGTAGGTTGCCCGCCACTCAGGGACTGCTACGGGGGGATATTCTCGAGAAACAAATTTTCCTATTGAATATCGTTTCGCGACCTACCAAGATCCGCAGGGACTCGATCGTGAATCTTTTCTCCTAACGCAAACCCGTGAAAAGTAGACGCTTCCTGACTCAAGGTAACGTCAAATGATGTCCTAATGACGTTAGAAACGTCAATAAGACGTCACCTTGCTGTTTGGGAACTTTAATGCGTTTATTCCTTTTTCGCGCACTGCCTAAGTTTTAGACGCTTTTACGTGCGGTTGTTCTCCAGCAAGAGACACAAGTCTAGTTGTATCAACATTTGCCTTTATTTCGTATTTGGTAAGAAAAAGGATAATAAATGATGTAACTAGAAACTTTTACCGGCTTATATTTCTCGCTGAAGTGCGTTCAGTAGCGAGCTTCTGTAACCGTCTACCGACGACTATCGGTACGTGTCGTTGCGTAGCTCGTTTGCCGTCAACGCAACATATTCCCTAGCCGTCGGCGGAGAATCCCGCAAAAATTCGACTGGACGGAAAGAGTACCTTTTATTAACTAATCATGATAAAAGGAATTTTTTCGATTTTCTATCTTGATCGGTCGATTAAATATTATCCGAGTCGAGTCGGATTTCTGAACGCAGCCCTGGAAAGCGATCAGCATCGTTATTATTATAGCTTGGAAACACTTTTTTTCTCAATTTTTAGTGAAAATCTGTAGTATACGTGACATGAATTGTATAAATTTTCAGCAGGTTGTGAATATTGGAGAAAACGCGACCTTTATTAAACTGACTATATATTCGTCTGCAAAACGAAAGGCGCGTACAAGTTTTTTCGATCGTTGCTGTGAAAATTAGCGTTTTTTTTTCAGTATGAATGTAATGTAATGTAATGCGTTTCCTCTGTCCCGACGACCTGGAGGAAGTGCGTTCGCTTTGTCAGGATTGGTTCCCGATAGGTGAGCTCGTGATACCGCTCGTCGCGATGACACTTGGGATCGTCATCTCTTTCCTGAAATATCCAAGTTTTCTCTCCTGTCTTTGTAGAGTGGACATGTGATATTGTTTTCCCGAATGATGTTGAAGATATTTCTGAATTCTGTTGGATACCGACGGATCACCTTTGCTTGATATCAGTGATGACACAGGTTCTTTTCGGAATGTAATCATGTTTTTTTCATAGACCAAGACTGATAACAACAGATAAGTCCAATGTCATTCGCAGAAACGTTCGTCGAATTGTAACGAAGTCGCGTTTGTTGCGAATTGATCGGTGTCATGAAGAACGTGGTCGAAAGCACGTGGAGTGTCTGCGCGAGCGAAGCTGCTTTGGATCAGCTGTTGTCTTCGTAGCTGGTCGGTGCGCGCGCTCAGAACCGCTTGAAATTTCGGTGCATCACCATGGCGGCAATCAAATCTGTCATCGTTCTTGCGCCGAACGGCCGCCGGCAAAATGTAAAGGTTACGCTCAACACGACGATCTTGCAGGTAAATCGAGCGGCTCGCTATTACTGCGCGTTCTTCGTCAACGATTGATCGCGCTTGTAAGAATAACACCGACGTCATGCAACACGTTGAACGAGAGAAAATGTTGATATTCTCATGTTGCGATTCTTTTCCCGTTAGGTTTTGGAAGAGGTGTGCCGGAAGCAGGGCTACAATGTCGACGATTATGACATAAAGTTAGTACGACATTTGGGAGCTTCGGTTTGCAATGTGGTATAATTTTCATAAGCCGTGTGTTACATCTCACTGTTACAGACACGTTCATCGAATATTAGATCTTAACACGTCGTTCCGCTTTACTGGTCTACCGAATAATGCTCAGCTGGAAATGGTGGCTTGCACGAAGGTGCGCTCCATGTCGAACGTTACAATTGGTATACAGCCGGAGGACGGAGAAAGAGTAACGCGCGAGTTCTCGCCTAATACAACGTTAGCTCAAGCACTGACAGACATATACCCCGATTCGGACCTCGAGAGAGTCGTGTTGATCTATATGCATAATGAGGTATGTATATACATATGGCATATGTTGCGAAACGTAGAAATTGATATGTTTTGCTTGGTTGCTGCACGATGCAAGCGTAAAGAAAGGCAACGAAGATGCACCTCAAGTCTTTCTGGTATTAGGTGTGCGGAAGAGAAGCGTTGGAGAAAACGACGTTGAGGTCGCTAGGCCTAAACAGTGGAAGGGCGATATTGCGATTAATGTATCGCGATCCCAAGCAATTGAAGACTCAGGCACATGTGTCGGCGCCTTTGCTTCCCAAGCCAGTCACGGCAGTGGATAACTCGTCGAGTAATAGAAATTCCCAAAGAGTGCCTTCGCCCACACCACATTGTAGTAAGACAATGGACGGTGTGATTTTACCGACGGAAATGGCCGACATACAGAACAAACCAGGAGGTAAGATGAGTGTAAACATAGATGAGGTGAAAATGGATGCAACGGATGAAACAAAATTGGACGCAAATGCGGACGAGGAGAAGATGGATGTAGAAATCGAACGGGTGGACACGAGGAATGAGGGGAGAAGCAAAGAGATGGATACATCGACGATAGAAGAAACTCATTCTGCGTCCAGTGTGAGGGAACACGGCACTGATGAGAGAGATCCAGTCACAGAGGCGTGCAAGAAAGATCAGGAAGATACATACAAAATTGAGTTTGTAAGATGTAATTGTGCATAATACGTGCAGTCTCGTAGCAACGACGTGTTCGCTCATTAACGTATATAATAATCTTGTAGTTAGGGGAGAGAAATGCTCTAGTGTTCAATCAAGCCGGAACTCAAGCATTGCCGAGGGACGAATTGCCGGACAGCTTCTTCGAGCTTAACTTGCACGACGCGAGGACTCTTTTGCGAGACGCCAAGCGTCGCAGAGAGGAACTCGAATCCGCCCCGCTGCTGACAGAGGCGCAACGCCAGTTGGACCGAGACAAACGGACTTTGGACCAACTGAACAAGTATCGGCGTACCGTTATTCGCATACAATTTCCCGATCAGTTCGTTCTTCAGGGATTGTTCGGGCCACTGGAGAGCGTTCAAACTGTCAAGGATTTTATCACGAATTACTTGGATGATCCGAGCTGCGCGTTCACAATCTGTGAGTAACGATACGCAATTAACGTGCACTCATCTTACACAGATGAAGTGGAAAAAGATATGTATTTTTAATAAAATCTCCTCCCTCTCTCGTCGACAGACACCGCACCACCAAAGCACATTCTAAACCCTGAAGCGCGACTGATAGATGAGAACTTGATTCCTTCCGCTGTCGTTTATTACTCCGGACAATCGTCGCTCAGGCCGAGTGTAAAAGCAAAATTAACGGATCCAAGAGCCGCTGGTATCGAAGCTGTGAGATCTAGGTAAGACGAATCGATTGTAGCACTCAATATGGATCTCGATGTTACATTTCACACATTTATCTATAGAACCGACACGATGCGGGAAGAACAAAACCCGACGACTAGAAACGAAGGAGCTGTTGAGAACGAAAGCGACGGCGTTACCGCGGGACCGAGTGGTGAATCGTCGGCACAGAATGAAAACAAAATACCAAAATGGTTCAAACAATTGCGAAATTCCAAGAACGCGTAATGGTGAATCGTCATCGTCGCCAGCACGGAATGAAGAGGGGAAACCAAAGTGGTTCAAACTATCGTCAATCAAATAATCGATCATATTGCCAATATCGCCACAGACGATGATTCCCCAAATTGTAACATACACGATACGGGATTTCTATGCAAACTTGTACGCGCGCAGGCACGCATGCATGATAGATGTGTCGTCATGCGCATCCTCGACAAGTCTAAAATATACAAATCTATACACAACAAACGTCCAACGTGTCTCATTATTCCAATTGAAATGTACAAAGCTTTACAGAAGGGGATAGTCCGTTCCTTATTAAAATTAGTTATAAAAGTGGAAACAAAATGCTACGTATACAAATAGTAGAATACTTTGTTCTTACCGACTAACTCTATGGCCTGCAGTGATAACATCTTACACATACATACATACACATATATATGTATATATATACAAGATGTCGTAATTCGCATCTCGATATATCGACAAAATAGCTCGTGAAAACCAACTGTTCAATATAGAGAAACACTTTTAATATATCGGTTTTTCATCGTCGAACTGTCTTGTTATAGTGTCTTGAGACACGAATCACGGGACAAACGCCTTGTATATAACATGTATGAAAAACAGTGAGATATATACACATATATATATGTATACATGTATAGCCGAGTGATGAAAGTACAATCGTGATCTATATAAGTATGTATCGATGATACTAACCGTGTGATAAAAGTGCTTCGATCAATAACATTAAGTATATATACTTTAAGTAATAAATGTAATAATTATTTAGATAGTAACAAGATTTTAGTTCACGATATATCGGCTTTTTTCGTCTCGTATCGGCGAATGTTTATGTACTTTGCAGAGAATGTAATGAAGCGAGAGTTGCAGTAATGTTTATACGAGACGAGTTTAGTCAATGTGAATTAATCGTTATCAATCGTCTGTCAAAGGTGCCATTAACTTTGCAAGTCGGGTGGTACCGTCGTAGGCGATTGCAACTGCAAATGCATGAGCCTCCGAACCGGGCCGCCGATTAGATTTCCGGCCGGACCGGAGCCGCCGGCTTCGGCCTCGATACTCTCTCGCAAACTTGCCTCTACGGGGTCCGCGACATTCTTATCCTCGGCCGCTACGGCGCTCTCCTCTTTTACCATTTGCGACTGTAGTTGCGAGTCTAACAGCCGCATATACTTGTCCATATCGCCGCCTTTATCCTCGTCATCGCCGCCAAGCGATCCCTCCGAGCTACCTTCGAACTCTCCTTCGCCTCCCGGCACGACTAAATCAAGGATACCCCTCAGTGCACTGTCGAATACATCCGCGTCGAAATCTATTCGCGTACTATCCTCCGCGTCTAGCATCACATCATTTTCCATCGATTGCTCCCTGCAAAACACTCGTCATTATTGGTTACCTTCCAGCAGGAGACACAAACTGACACAGTGTAGTTATAAGAAATTTGCGAAATAAGGACAAATGATATATAACTGTGGCAATTTGTATCTCTTGCTGGAAAGAAATCATAAACACACATTGTGTATTTTTCAGTGATTCGCTTGAATAAATCAGCACGATTTGCCCCCGACACGTACCCTAAGAAATGCACGCCATCGACACCGCTGGTTTGGTTGAGGAACGACTGCACCTTCTCTCGGAGACTCAAAGACTCCTGATCCAATTTCCTGTCTTTCACGTTGCCCCACTGTTGGTTTAAGTACATTTCTAATTGCGCCGGGTCTACATTCAGCCAACTGTCGCTATCCGCGGGACTCAGTGTGGTCTCGTCTTGAGCTGTGAGTGAAAGTTTATGTAATGTAAGACGCGCGCGATGTGCAACCATTTCGAGAGAGTGGCACAATGTAAAACGAATTACCATGCATTTCAATGTCATTGGTCTGTATATTCTCCCATGCTTCTAAGACTTTTTGAGCATCGCTTTCGTGTAAATTCGTTAGATTATCAAACAAGGTCGCATGCTTCAAGAAATACTCTTTCGCTGTGGACAGCAACTTATCACGTTCCTGGCTACCCTCCAACAGATCTCTAAAGTAACCGTTCGCCTCTAAACGAGCTAGATAAGCGACGAAGGCTGGTTCGTTCAGCTTTAACTTCTCAGCGCCGTCGGAAACGTCCGACTTCTCTTTCGTATGTTTCCTACGTTCTTCATTGGCCCGGGCTACTAGCATCTCTAAACCGCATGCTACCTTAACTCCGAGAACATGAGCATTGTATTTTGAGCAAGTCGCGGGTGGTATGTTCCAACCTGTTCTTGGATCACCGGTATAACGACAGTGCGTTGCCATAGCGTATAAACACTTGGTCATTTTCAGATTGACCATGGTTCGTTGCTCAGGCGGAAAATATCTCATGGCGCGACATACCTGAAACATAACGAAACCGTGATACAAAGCAGATTGTGCGAAAAGTCAATTACGCTCTGTTACCCTGCGTTCCAATGGATCCGAGTGACAAATAGTTCTAATCGCTGGGGCTATAAGTCTTGGTTCTAAACGAAGTATAGAGGCTGCTTTCTCCGGAAGGAAAGCTCTGGTCTTGTGCTTCCTTTTCTGTATCTCGTCTGGATAAATGCCAATTCGTTTCTGCAACACAAGCTGAACCTTCTCCAACATCTTGGAGATATACGGCTTGCCGTTTATGTTGTTCAACAGATTCGGAAATGACGTTCCCCTCTCCCTGATGACATGTATGTCACCGTTGTGAATGAACACTCGATCTTGGCATGTCTCGGGGCTAGCCCACAGTGGTAGAACATTGGCAGCTTCTATCAGAAGAAATTCCCCGTCCGAGTCCACTACTCTGGCGATCAATCCGTTGAAAACTTTGGTAAGCCTAAATATCAGGAACACCGTCAGCCACTCGTCGCCTATGTCCTCGTCGAAACGCAGACTCGCATAAATGTGGGGCAAGGTGTGATAGTCTAGCGACGAGAAGGCATATTGTTAACGATCAGTTACGGTAACCTATGAAAATCACGTGAAGATACTTACCTTCCTCTACAGCTGATCCTTCGAGTATTCTATTCAACAACATTGCTTGCTTCGTTCTAGGACGGAAATTTAAGCTGTCGCAGTGCCAAATATGATCGACGATAAACTGCGCGATCTCCGCGTTGTACTTGGCGATTTCTTCACTCAACGTCGCTTCCGTTACCGCGTCCGGGTCCGTCATGTAGCAGAACTTGGGGTAAAGGAAACACTCGAGGATGTCCTCCTCCTTCGCTTTATGCATGACAGCTGTGTTTGCCATTTTCTAGCGTTGAATACCTCGGGTCGGTCTAATAACTGTACTCGCTATCGCGCTCCTCTGTGTCACCTCTATGTTCACCTATGTTCACCGAACAGACACGCGACCTTCGTGCGACGCTCGGTTTCCATAGGCGTTCTTCGTAGATGAACGCATAGACAACAATAAGCGTGACCAAAGTTGTTTACTGGATTATCGCAGACGCGATCATAACCTATACGGCAAAGTTGGCCGAGCAACTCGCGCTATAACGCGCGATCCTAACCTAACCTTCTCTCAGCGGTGGCTTGGCGATGCTGTCACACGGTGCCTGCATTCGATGCATTCGTGACTGTTCATGACAGTGCATACAACGATGGGGTGTGCGGAGCGCATGAGTGGAAGAACGCGTTCGGTTTTCTGCCGAAGGGAGCAAGGTACGGACTGATTCCCACCACCGATGAGGCTACCGAGAGATAAAAAAAATCGTTAGCTTCGATGGACTTGACTTCGATTCGTAATCGACGGTCGTAATCGTAAGATATCCGTTTAAGTTAACCGACAAATTTCACTTCGAGCTCTAAGATTTTCTTAGCTACTTATGAAAATCTCACCCTCCCCTCTTCTTAGATTCCGCTTTGGAGCTGTATGATTATTTGTATTGTTGATTTTGTATGAATCTCTTAAATTTGGATAAACTGTAAGATTACTCCTGTACAGATATATTGTATCTGTGTTAAGGATGCCCGAGGAATGTGCAGAACAGTTGTCCTGCGAGCAAAGTTAGCACATAGACTGGTATAATTTGCCTTGACCAAGCCAAGGGTATAATGATCCCCCTCAGATGCGGTATCAGGAAATAGGTTGGCAGTAATTGTGGGACAACAATGAGTTCTTTGGCGAGAGTTCCATATTCATAGAATCCAATTGTCATACAACAGTTAATGAAGTTTATAAGTGATCTCAAGGAAGTATTTTAGAATATTTGGTAATTAACTAGATTAATATCTTAAGAATATCCTTAGTTTTTTATATACATATAATAATACATATATTTATACATGTAAGATATTTTTTAAGTATCTTTTATCTATTTCTATTCCTTCAACATCTTTGGTACAATATATAAACAATCTTACAGTTTATTAATGAGATAAAAGAGATTTATGCATAACCAACAAATGAATTTACAATTTTCAAGTAAGATTTAGGAGAGAATATATTCCTATAAACAACCAGAAATTTTACAGAAGCAATATTTGAGGAACATGGTGAGCACCAAGAACCACCCAGCTGGCCGATCGTCCAGCTGCTTACGCAAATATCGGCTGCTCTTCACGTTCGGCGTAACTGTACTGTGTGTACAGATTTATCTAGCCCATACATTTTTCGGTCTGGACAATGGCAGAGGTAAATCCAGCCGGCTGTCATCCGGAGAGGTAGTCTAACTCTTATGCTAAAAACAATACGTGTAATTGTAAAACATATTAACCCATTACTTGATACTTTTCATAGGGTGATTCTTCTCAACCTGAAGAGGGCTTGCCGAAAGGCTTACGTCAATTGAAGCTTCCACCTGACAAACAGACAAATACAAATAAGCAAACTCTGCAATCTCAACGAAATCGCACCGCCAGAATCAAGCTAGATCGTAAATCACTAAACTTTATACCTGTGTGCGAGGTTACGGGCAGAGAAGCAGTGAGTGCCGTAACGCGTGCTCAAAGTCAAGCATGCAAGCAACGCATTGTCAATGTGACGTGCCTTAGCCAGCAGGGTTTATTGTACCCGGAAAGAGTACAGTCTTTGTGTCCTCATTCTCCAGGTTTTACAGGCACGCCGACCAGCTTAGGCTGTTTCAAAGATGATAAGACATTGAGAATACTTTCTGGTTATTATCACATTTTCAAAGGGAACAATTCTCCGGAACACTGCGCTTACATGTGTCTTCAATCGGGATATCCATACGCCGGTACAGAGTACTCGTTAGTATCTTTCAAAATTAATGTGTGTACGTTTGCATTTTATTTCATTTTTTTCTTAAAGTATACATCCATCAAACACGCGCAATTTCAGTGTGGAATGCTTCTGCGGGATGGAGGAACCACTGTTTACAAAACGTTTACCAGACTCTAGCTGCAATATGAAATGCTCCGGCAATCCGAAGCAGTCGTGCGGCGGCTATTTAACTGTCAATGTGTATTGGACTGGAATTCAAAGTAAGCGCATGTAAATATATATATAGATATCAAAATACTAGATTATCCTCTCAAAATCTTTCTTTAATTTAACAGAGTTTAAACCTCAAGAGGCGAGAAACTCGAGTTTAAAGAACGAACAACCTGTGCGAATAGCCTATCTGCTAACGGTAAATGGCAGGGCGAGTCGCCAGGTGAAGCGGCTTATGAATATTTTGTATCACCCCTCGCATTTGTTTTATATCCACGTTGACGCAGTAAGTAACGTCGATAATGTGCTTGGTACATTAATAGATGTATTTAAATCGGGTTTGTCTATTTTCAGAGGCAGGATTATTTATATCGTGAAATGTTGGAGGTGGAGAGATCATGTAAATTGAACAATATTAAAATAGCGAGAGGGGAGGGCTTGAGACACGCGAGTATCTGGGGCGGTGCGAGTCTTCTAACTACTCTTCTGAAGTCGGCGCAACAGATGCTCGCTCATCATAATCACTGGGACTTTCTCGTGAACCTGTCGGAATCCGACTTCCCAGTGAAAAGCAACAATCAACTCGTCGAATTTCTGAGTTGGAACAAGGGCATGAACTTCGTGAAGTCTCACGGAAGAGAAGTTCAGCGTTTCATAACGAAGCAAGGTTTAGATAAAACATTCGTCGAATGCGAGGCACGCATGTGGAGAATCGGCGATCGAAAATTGCCAAATGGTGCGTGACTTTGTTTTAGATCTTCGAGAAAATTTCAATATAAAATACAGATATCGATATAAAAATGTAAGACACTCGCAACATCCGGTATGCTTGTGTTTTGGAAGAAAAAGAAAGCTAATTTCCGTTTCTTAAATTTTTAGTTATAGAAATCTTGTGAAATTAGCGTGAATATTTTAAAGCAACGTATAATTTCAGTTATATTGATTAAAACTGATATTTTGGTAATTAAAGAACAAAATGTATGATGCATACGCATTCTTAGATTTCAAAATATTTGCAGATTTTCTAAAGCTTCTACAACTAAAAATTGCAAAAAAAAACCCCGAACTTTTTTTCTTAAAGATAAAAAACAAATACAAGTATATAGATCAAATATATATGTAAAACTGTAATATATATTGCTATCCTCGTGTTTTGTACAGGTATTCAAATTGACGGTGGTAGCGATTGGATTGCTCTAAGTCGGGATTTCGTCGAATACGTTGCCAATCCAAATCCTGATCTATTAGTAGACAGTCTGTTAAAACTGTTCAAATACACCTTGTTGCCGGCTGAATCGTTCTTTCACACCGTTTTGAGAAACTCGAGATTCTGCAACACCTATATAGACAATAACTTGCACGTAACTAACTGGAAGAGAAAGTTGGGATGCAAGTGTCAATATAAGGCGGTAGTGGACTGGTGTGGATGCAGCCCGAACGATTTTAAACTCGAGGATTTTAATCGGATACGAAACACGGCGGATCGCAATTTATTTTTCGCCCGAAAGTTCGAGCCCGTCATCGATCAGAGAATCGTGGACAAGGTGGAGGAATGGCTATATCCCGACAGAATAAACAGAACAATCAAAGCGTGGGGCTACGATATGTACTGGCAAAGCCTATATCATCACGCGGACTTGAGTCCGCTACCTGACGACGCGTTACTGACGCTCTCGTATTCCTTGGCGAGGCTGGCTTTCCGGAAACTGAAAATGAACTATAAAGATATTCACTTGTTAGAGAATACCGCGTATTTCCGAGAAGATCGGTTCGCAGGCATACTAATTCTCGCAGAGAATAAGGATAAATCCTTCGGTGTATCTGCATTACCCAGAGATCGTGTGAGACGCGTAGAAGCTTTGGTTCACATGCGACATAACTTCTCCACGAATAGATATTGGCTAGGAAAGATACGGAGTCTCGCTGTCAGTACAGATTACGATCAAAAGGAGCAAACGTTTAGAAACCTGGCGGGCAGTATGGGCCCGTACTCGAATCCAGCGTTGGCTTATGAATTCGACACAGGTGTTGCGGTACCGCAAAATATATCAGTCCTATGGATTGATCCGCAGGGCCGTTTGGCCGATATTAATCATATTCTGCTTGAGGAGATGACTCTGGTAATATATACTTATATATTAGCTTTAGCCTTAAATTTTATAATTAAAATACTTGACGCATGTAACTTCATTGTGTTTTCAGGTAGGACACGTTAAACCGCAGCTCAACGAACAGTTAACCGTTGGTACCTGGCAGCTATTGTTGGTTGCTGACACCCTGCTGGTGACGAAATTAAATTTTCTGGTGACCCCGTTGTCCTATTGGAAGACGAAGGAGATTGACCTGAAAAAGGCTAAAGAGATAATAGACGGTCCAAGCACCGTTTATCATGTTACAGAGGAAATGAATAAGAAATGGTCGAATTTAGTAAGATTCGCGATGCTGAACGAGCAGAATAAACTCATTGATGCCGGCGATGACATCGATGATTCCATAGACAAGCTAGTATACGAGCATTATGACGTTGTCGAAATATGCGACGCCGACGACGAGAGAACCAAAACGAAGCTACAAAAGTGTACAGAGATACATTGGAGCTCTTTGAGCCCCGATTCAAAGGCTGAAACTCGTAACCTATGTCAAAACTACTAATTAATTATTTTACCAACTACGTGCCATTTTCGCCGTTTTGAAATTTATTGTACGTGTATAAAGATTACAAACGTCTTTAGATATTTTTATATCGACTAAACTGTAAATATATAACGTATTTATAAAAAGAAGTATTATATATACATATGTATACACACACATACACACATTATATATATATATATACACACACACGTGCGCACACACACATATACGTATATGTATACATGAATTTTTGGTATATGTTGCAATTAATAATTCTGTCTAATATTTTCACATTAAAAATTAATGGATTGTATATTAACACGATGGATTATTTAATAGACAAGCGTTCCTCTGATTGCTATTTCAAATATAAAAAAAAACACCCGATCGAATTTTCTTAAGGGGAGATATACACCTAGAAGCCGGAAAAAAGATCATTTTTTGTGAATTTTTTCAAGGAAAACTATTTGAAATTTCGGATTGGGGTTTTAATTATCTAAAAGTATATACATTAAAAAATATATTTATTTTTTTTTAATTAAAAATATATTAGCAAAAATTTACAAGGATATTGGATGATACTTGAAGCACTGTAAAAACACGGTACCCACTGGCGTTTCTTCAAAAATCATCTGAAAAGAAAAAACCAAAAAGATTATTAAAATAGATACTATAATCTAGTACTTGTCATAGGCGATTTTGAAAATATCGATTTATGACAAAATGGCGAACGTCTGAACATAAAGGGTGATTTTTGGGCCAAAAATTAATTATTACTTTGCCTATAAAACAAAAACTAAGTAACGGAAAAAAAATCCTATGACAAGTACTAGATAATTGTGTATAGAATAACCAAAAAAAACCTCAAGGCAATCGGTTCATTGGTTTTCGAGAAATTTTGGGTACCGATTTAAAAAACGTGGTTTTGAGAAAAACGCGTTTGAAAATTTGGAAATGAATTAATCATGAAATTTGTCAACTTATATGGAATCATCGATACCAGGCCCATAGTGTAGGTCTTCCTCGGTCAACGGAATGTTCATTTCTTCTAAATTTTGTTGTCGGCGCCATATTCGACCTTCTTTTGTCTGCTCTTGCGCTTGCAGCTCGGCTTTCACAATGCGAGTTTCGTCTTCTTCTGCAGCGTACAAGTGTGCTCCTGAACCAACTGATATTCCCAACACGTTCATAATTTCCAATAATGAGGTGACACCATTGTTGAACATGCATGTTGCCAGAAATACAGCAATGTTAACGATTTCGGCCCCGCTGTTCATCGTTTTTGGAGCTATCTTCCAAATCAGTTGGTTGAAGCTCTCATTGGAGTTTTGGGTATATCCGCCAACACAGCGTTCTAACAATTTGTCATTGCTGAGGTCTTCGTATATTGGTTTAATGACATCTAACACCTCTTTTGGCAATGCAGCATAATCGTGACGGAAATTTTTCAGTTTATTTGTAGCTTTCGCTTGTTGCCACTTGCACCACGATTCGGGGCCTTCTGGACAGAAATGATGCTGAGGCTTGCTGTCTGTTGAGCTATAATGGTAGAATGTTGCCCATATTGCTTTTTTCATATCATCCTTGGAGTTACAGTTTTTGCAAATAGCTAAACAATAGTAAATGCTCAGTTTATCTATAAGCTTTGCTGTCAATTTGTTTTTGCCGCCGATTCCAGAATTATTTTTTTTTGCATCCGCGAAGACGGGTTCCCATTCGCTTTTGAACGTGCCCCACGCATTCTTTTTTAACAATTTCATTCTCATCACCATACGGTTTCGCATTTATTATCCCCGTGTACGTCTTAGAGTCGCCATCCCCCACGTAATTTGTGTACATAACTCCATGCTTTTCGACAGATCTTGAAAATAATTCTATCATGGCGTCTACTTCCATTTTGCCTGACGATCCTTCATGATTGACCTGACAATTTTCAGCGTGATTAGATTTCCATTCCTGATATTGCTCGGTATTTTTGTGTTTATTCCAATAGTTACATTCACCACAATAAGAAGATTTTACAAGAAAATCAACGACTTTTCCTGTAAAATGACCAATGAGAACCGCAACTCCATATAACGAGGTAAAACGACATTTTCGCCACGTACCATCTCCTGAAACGGTCAGTTTTGTGTTATCAGTACTCGAATTTTCTTTTGTTATTTCCTGTTGTTCTTCTTTAACAGCTTGTTTTAACACCAATTGAACAATACTTGAAGCAGCCGAATGAATGTTATTTATTATCATATCATACGTCGTTTGTCGAAGCGGAGGTGGTAAATCCATGAGTCCACAAAATTTCATAGCTCCACGCAAACCAATACCCAGTAAACGCATAACAAAAAAAAACGTGTGTTTATTTCGTAAGCTGTGTTGATGTACGGGCACGAAGAAATAAAAGTCGGCTTGCACGATGAACACGAAACTACAATTTTAAAACCGAGTCCTCTAGTGCTTTCTATAGAGAATCGAACATCACTATCACACTTTTTGCATTTTACACATTCTGATAAAGCAGAAAACACAGTTACAAAATTCAAAATTCGATATCCGATGTTTGGATCTTCTGGTGCGGATGTTTCACGAGCAGTTTTCAATTTTTTGGTACTGGAACTAATATTCTCGTCGGAAAGTTTTTCGGCAGAATATTGATTTTTGGGCGGTATTCTTTTTTTACTTCGATCCTTGCGAAAAGATCCGGATCGATGAGCTTCTCGAGAACCTTTATTTTTTGTATCCATTTTTCTCTCAATATTTGTTCACTAACGAAAATTCACTAAAACGCACAGTTGCACGAACAAGCTATTGAAAACGTGTCTACTTCTGGCAATGAATAACAGCCATCTGATATTTCCGTTATACCTGGAGCCAAGCATGCTACACCTGCCTAGTATGCCCAAAAACACAAACAATTGAATCACAAAATAAGTCTACGCCTTTTGTTCGAAGAGTCACTTGCTGTTACCTGCCTGTCGCCTATCGGCTCGGCGTTGTAAAACACGTTTCACCGTCTCGGCTGTAACTGGCTTATTTATCGAAATACTACTTTACCGTTTTTACCTGATATTCTAATGACCTCAAACTTCAAGGAAATGCAAGAAAAAAAAATCGATTTTTTCGACCATCTAGGTGTATATCTCTCCTTAATGCAATAAAAAAATCAACTTGTTCTTGATTGTTAGATATCCTGCATGCTGATTGGCTGTCGGTTAGGGAATTCTATTCGTTCGGCGCTTTTTGAATCGACCGTACTTTGATACCTGTCGATCCCGAGCTATGCCTGACGATCTGATAACTATCAGTGTCATTTGCCTATCGAGTTTTATATTCAATCAACTAATAAAAAAATAGCTCTGACTTTAATAACAAATAATCACGATGTACGAGTACCTAGACTAAGCGTGCGTGCGTTCGAACAATAAGAGGCCAACTTCAAATGTAAAGGCGCCCGTGCATACGCAGCGACGTGCATAAGCGTGAAAGTGGAGTGTCTGCACAAGCCGAGCGCGTTGACATCTAGGAAGTTTATCGCAAGATGTCGGGGGATGTTTTGTGCGACGAGCCGCTGGTATGCTCGCGGACGAAATGACTTGCTTGTCGTGGCTGCGCACGTCTGCTAAATTCCGGCCTAAGTTAAATCCCAGAGTGTTGTAAGCACGCCGGTGGGCCAACGCCAGCCAATTCGTCCGAACCTCCTGCCACCGAAGCGGAAGGAAACGAGGAGATCAGGGCGAACGAGGACTGTGCCAGTGTACGTGTGTATGTGTGTATACCACTGCCAAGACCTAAGATAACCGGAGCGCGGTATACCGGAACCCGCTTTCAATCTCGTTAATTAAACAGCTGAGTGATTGTTCGACTTTTGCGGTAGACAAAGAGACTGATTGGGAGGGCGAAAGAGAGGGAGAGACAGAGTGTGTGTGTGTGTGTGTGTGTATATGTGTGAGAGAGCAAGAGAGAAAGGAAGAAAGGGAGATACATAGAGAGGACAACGGACACGTGGTGAACAATTACAACCTCAGCTGGGATGGGAGCCAAGGCAAGCACTGTAGCACAGTCTGCTGGTGGCAACGGTCAATCCTCCACTGGGGCCAATGAGACAACAATGCAGGGTTTCTCCATGCTCCGTTCTCTGCCTGGCGGTGTGGGTATGCTGCAGCATCAGCATCAACAGGCCAACCAGTCGCAAAGCTCACGTGTATCCGGGGATAGTAGACAGCGTGCGCGCTCGTTGAGTTCCGTACCAGATCTCTCCTCCGCTGAGCAGGCCAGTCTTGCTACTTCCGTTGGAGTAGGAGTGGGTCAGGCACTGGGCTTGCCACAGCTAGACTCCGACGACGCTGATGAGGATAGCGGACGCGTTTATGCTGCTCATAGCTTGCCTTCACACATTTGGTCCCTCAACGGTAAGTAAGATCTACTTGAGCCCCCCTCAGTTTGCACGCTCACATGGACAAAGCTAGACAAGCTAGACTCAGAAACCTACCCACTCTCTGACCGACTATGAAATCAGTTCGTTGTATGGATTACAAAGTATACCGTGTGTTCATTTTATTTCTACGTGACTGAAAATCATAACGTATGTTACATACGAGACGGATAAACTATCGAGAAGTTGTCTAGTGAATCTACTTCTGAAGAGCGCTGTACAAAGTGATACTGCTAAAATCGAGTCATCGCGGAGTGTTCGCTCGTTATTAGCATCTATATTTTGCCAGCCGCATTTCCATTAACAATCGATTTGCACGACAAGACAGACCATCATACGGCATGTTTCAAAAGTCGCTCGGTCTCTCAATGCGAAGTGTTAATCGGCGGTCTCTAACCTAGTCGTGAGCAGGCACGCGAGCGAGGTTATGTTGGCGACCGCGAAGCTTCGCGGACAGAGTGCTCGCGACGATGGTTCGCGGGTAGGACAGGGGGCGTTTGTTTTGACGCATGTTGCCGGGGTGGTTGGCCCGGTAACCGCGTGCAATCGATGACTACTCGACCGCAGGCTAAGTAAATTTTAAATTAGCGATAAATATCGAGTAAAGAAAGGCGAAGTGAAAAAAGAGAATACGCCGATCATCGCGAAAGATGAGTCTCAGCAGTGAATCGCCGCGTGGGACGAAGGGTCATGGCTGAGGTTATGTCGGGTCTATTATGGGAATTATAGTGAGCTCGTGCCTGAACGAGTCCGAGGCTGAGGCTGTCCCGGTAGACCGAGTGAGGAGAGTCTTATATGGTATATTATATTTTTCTCCTCCCACGCTATTTCTCGTATTCTACGCCGTCCCATCCTCGTTTCTCTTCTTCCCCACCCCGCCCAAATACCGCACACTTGACCTTCGTTTTTCTGAGATTCTTCGACTATGTTCAAGGTCTAAAATGTCCCGTATGCTCCAAGTTCATTCTACCGGATGATATAGAATGTCACCTGGTCATGTGCCTGACCAAGCCACGGCTCAGTTACAATGGTAAGTTTTTCACTGTAATAAGATATATCATACTTGGGAAGGACCAGAGAAAAGTGTAATCAAGATAAAGAAATAAGAAGTAAGCAAATTGACCAATCATAGTTGATTATTCTTCAACCGTAAAATGAATAATCTATTGTGATTGGTCGATTTTTTTGTTACTTAAGTTTTACTATTCACATTTTTGTGTGTGTCACGGCCCTAAACGTTGTTCTTCACACTTTTTGCTGTTCGTCAATCAGTGAATCATTGTTTTTGGAACAAGATTTCCCCGACTACATATTTATGATGATTGTGATAAATGATAATTAAATGCATCGTTGCTTCTTCACATAACAGAGGACGTGCTAGCAGATGAAAAAGGTGAATGTGTCATTTGTCTTGAAGAATTACAACCTGGTGATGTTATAGCTCGCTTGCCCTGTCTCTGTATATATCACAAAAAGTATGTATAACAATGTCATTTAGTTATTATTCTATTTTAATTCTTTACTAATATGAAATATCATAAATATCACTAGTAACGAAGATATTTAGTCATTCTGTGATATTTAGCAAGGAAGATGTAAATATTATTTTATCATAAAAGCATTGCCAAATTTGGTTATAAATATTTGAGATAAAATATGGCCTGTCCGTTTTAGCTGAACTAATGTTGCACCAATGGTTCCTTTTTTCTTCACTGCTAAGTAATATACTTATTTTATTGGGAAAGCCAAAGGTGCAATCTAGTTCGCTTAAAACGAGCAAACCTGTAAACAATAAAAAAAGTAATTGTAGAGTATATATATATATCATGATAACATGTCATGCATTGCCATTGGAATATTAATTATTCATAGTTGAAAAATTAAAAACTACTTGTCATTATGATAGAATGGATAATAATATTTGATATCTGTCTAGCTGCATTGATAAGTGGTTTCAAGTGAATCGTAGCTGCCCTGAACATCCTGGAGATTGATTCGTACCTACTGAATTTGGTGGAGCACTGTGGAACAAGTTGCTGGCCCAAAGGACATTCACGTCGATGGGATTAAGACAGGACGAAATGACAGAAATTTGAAAAAAGCTAGTCAAGGTGGCTGCTAGTCCGCAATGGTGATTGGTGTGTGCGGTGAATATTGTTCAACTGAACATGAGACTCACTGAAATCGAACATGAAAGCAGATGTTTAATTCAATCCTCAACTCTACTACTCTTAATCGGGAGACTTAAGAAGAAATCGCCATAGGATTCAACGATACAATGCTATTACCTATACGTATCTACAATTACTCTATTATTGCTCTATCGCTTACTATCGATTGTACCATATTTATAAATTTTACTTAGTTTTACTCCTTGAACTCGATTTAGTATTTAAGCAGGACGATCTTTATTAGTATCGTTCATGATTTTCTTTTCATATTCTTTTTATCCATTTTCGGAAAATGGGGGACAGGACGAATCTTAGTCAAGGATACCTGCATAGTGAGCAGGTGAGCTCTACCTTAAGTTAGTTATATTTTTACTGATTTTAAGTGTCGAGACCATGTATCATTTTTCGTTGTCTGTTGGGGGATGAGTGCTAGAAAGGATATTTTTGATACTTTCATAAAAGGGGAAGCCAGGATGTATAAGAGTTCCAAACGCCGGAGACGTCGTAATGCTGTTGATGCTGTAGTAACAATAAAGGTTCTGATTTAACCTTCCTTACTGAGAGATTCATAATAATGTGATAATCTCTTTCGTTGTTAATAGAGAGAATTGACACTCCGTGTTACTGAGATGTACAGTCTATTGTCGATTACCGAGGATTACCTACTGTATAATTAATCTCTTTTGTATATGATAAGGAGGATTGACATACCCAGCAGTAGTTTTTGTAATACGAACAATCAAAGTCTATCATTGTTCCAGTAATGTGCGCAAATTGTGTATGTTCGGGTCGGACTTATAACTCGCGTGAGGTTAAAATAAAACCAATAAAGTAATAAGAATATGAAAAAACGTGAACAGTACGGTGAGCAAAAGGGGAACTAGAAATAAGTTATGTTAATAAAATCGAACACATAAACGTATGGATGTACAGAGTGTCCCGTAACCACTGTGAAACATTTTAATAGCCTGTCCTGGAATCTAATTCAAGTCAAAACATCCTAGTTGGCCCTAGGTGAAATTATCATGAGAGATCGAGGTTTCCAAATTATTAAGCGATTAAAATATTTATCACAGGACGCGAATAAAGATGATGCGCTCCACACATACACAAAATTAATTCATTTTCGTACGCTATTAAAATATTTTACGGAGGTGTGGAACACCCTGTGTATATATATACATACTTTCGTGCACTTTCTCTCGACTACTTATATTAGGAATTAAGCTGAAAGCTTTTTCACAACTAAAATAATTTCAAGATTATATAGTCTCGACAAATTAATCTTGTTTTTTATTTAGTTTTAAGTAGACGTCAACAGAATTGTATGAGTTGAAACTTAGTTACCGAGATATATTTAATGTTAAATTCTGCTGTTACTATTCATATTAATTCCTATATTCGATGTAACTATAGTTATATATGTACTATATATTATACCATATATTTCATATTCTCCCTATTCTCTAAGGAAATTATCAATTGATCAATTCGCCGAGATATCTGTACTCGAAAGAAAGTGCGCGATGCCTAGGACACTCTGTGTGTGTGTGTGCGTGTGTATGTGTGTGTATGTGTGTGTACTTTTTTTTAAGCCATGTGAAAAGTAAGTGACTCTAGACGAGGGGCTCGGTTTCATAAAACAGAAATTAAAAAAAGAAGAAAGTTGAAGAAAGGGAGAGTGAAAAGGAAGCATGTAAAGAACTCGAAATAAAAGTGTGACATCGATAATAGCGATAATACGTTGAAAGAAAATCTCCCCTTGCGTTTCGTTGCTGATCGAGGATTGTCTTGCGGCTGGTCATTTTATCGATTTTACAATATGTAAGGTTTGTTGTATGTGCCGATTACAAGGGCGGGGTGTGCGGGAAAGAAAGTGCAAGGTGACGCGGTGAGGAGAGACGTAAAAATAGATCGCGTATTCTATATCGGCACGCGACAGGGCGTGGAGTACATGTGTTGCATGTGTGTGTTGCACATATGCAAGATATGCACGCGCGTGTTCGTCCGCCTCGCTCTCGATCTTGTAGCGGTATTCCGTATTCTGTAATACGTACAATTATAGGTTCATTTGTTCGACACTGTATTTTCTCATGTTTTCTGCATTTAACATATAACAAGCGCCAAGCTTGTCTTTTCTTTTATTACCTCAGTTTCTCTTATGATTAATTTAAAATTTAAATTGTGCGAGACAAAGTATATATGAAACAAAAGTCAAGTTCTTTTCTTTAGACATGAAATGTAATATACCCGGCGTTCAATACTTTTTTTAAGATTTAAAAAATGCTAAGTTTGACTTGCGGACTGGAGCTGCGTCTTTTGTGAGAAAAAATGTATGAGAGATGGACAAAAGGGTACAAATTAAAATTGCGGAAGGTACGAATGAAACCAATAGAACTGTTTCTCATGGGATCACTGTAAAGTGGGGTGTTTGTGATGCTTTTCTAAAATTACATAAATCAACGAGCAAATTCCAACGATTTTTCTTTTTTCATGAACGTTTGTCCTCCTTTGTATCGCTTGGGATTTATTACTTGTCTCGTTTGGGGACCTATTCCTAGATCAGTATCCTATTTCGTTCGTCAATTGAAAAGCATTTTCAAACACGATAATCCGATTTTTCAGATAAAATCGTGCGTTATCAGCTGAGACATCCGGTTGGCATCCTGATTTCAGAAATTTTTAAGAACAACATCATTGAGACATGGGAAGCAAAATGTGCTATAATATTTTAATCTATATTATTTTCCAATACTCGTAAAGTCGTCACAATATCTACAAAAGAAGAAGAATAAGATTATCCGAGTAACCACACTCAGAGAAATAACTTAGCAAAATAACAGCTAAATCTCATTACCTAGTCAGAACTTTATGGTCATTGCTGAAAGGTGGCTATTAAAGGTAAAATGCATTTGCTGCGAGAACTTTGGGTCTGTTCTTTGTCACTGAACTAGTACACACTTTCGGAATTTAAAAATAAAGATATATAACTATGACTTCATGTAAAGAAGAGGAAAACAGAATTAGAGCAGGCTAATGTAGTCGGTTCAGCTACAAAGAACAGACTTTTTATCAGCTAAAATTAGTATGAGTAGCTAAAATTGGTTAATTATGCTTTTGATCTGGTTACATCATGTATAGACAATACGAACGAAATATGTTTATATCAATCGACGAAATGATATAATACTTAAAGTGATTAATTCACGATCCATAGGTCTTGGATTCGAGGCCGTCAGTGCTTTAAGCGTTTGTAATGTTTTTCAAATACGACACAGCATTAAATCGAGTAAATAGCTAAATTTCAGGCTAAAAATCAGTATATACTTAACACCCGAAGGACAGATTTTATTAAAAAGGAAAGCATTAAATTTTCAGTTGGGAATGTGGATATGATATCGATGTTATTGTGCATTCTAGCTAATATGTTTCACTGTAGCACCCAAATTCAAACAGCTAATAAATTTAGCTGCGATAGCAACAACAACATAGGCCTCTTCTTTATCGCTGAACTAGTACACACTTTCGAAACAGATAGCTGGGACTGTAGAAAAAAAGGAAATAGAACTAGTGCAAGCTAGCGCAGTCAGTTCAGCTGTAAAGAATAGACTATATTTTAAAAACACATTTTAGCTGCCGCAGTTAGATTTTAACTACTATGACTAATTCTTTCTCTGAGTACAGTGACTTGCGTCTGTGCGAACGAAAAAAATGCTTAAAGAACGGCAGCACATAGGAATATAATAGTAATATTACTATTAGTAAATTGCATAAATAATGCAATTATATTATTTTGCTGTCGTTTAAGGCAGTTTATAGATAATATTATTATTTTTATATAATTTTTTTTTTCATTATGTTCGTAATGCATATATTCTAATATTTCGACAGATTGTGATAAACAATGAATAATGACTCAAAATCACAACGTTGTAACTGCGGACACACAATTTATTGGGAAAAAGTTTCCAGAATGTTCTACAAATATTAGAGATATCAGTGTGCCGGTTTCTTAGTTATTTCCACAAAACTACAAATATTAGAAATATGAGTGCCGGTTTCTCAATTATTTCGAAACAAACCAAATGCCCAAGTCTCCTGAAATTACTGAGGTTTCCCGTAATCAAAATAAAAATCATTAATTACTGCAATTTTTTTCTCAATTTCTAACATTATTACGTTCCGTAATTAAGCTACGAATTAAAATTCTATTGAGAGAAAATTTAGTTAGAATTATCCGAAAAACATGATGTTACCGTACACTTAATATTATTTCCGAAGTTAAATTTATCAAGAATTTATTCCTCTTTTTCAAACGTGAAAGTTACAACTATGGATCCATTCTTTGTCGTTGAACATAGTGCACGGAACTTAAAAAGAAACAGATACATAGTTATGATTTCGTGCAAAAAAGAGGGAAGTAGAACTAGTGCAAGCTAATGCAGCCAGCTATAAAGAATAGGTCTTATTTTGTTGCTCGATTCAAGGTGAGCGAAGGAAAATTGAGATTACATTCGATAATTTTAAGACATCTTTTGTCCAAATACCTCCAGTTACGGCTTATCGCCCGGACATTTTTCAGTTATCTAAAGTATCATTTCCACAGAGTCGACAGATACGATACGGAATTCCGCTGCTTGATGGCTATAACAATAACAATCTGATCATCATCAACAAGTAAATTACGAGAGCCCGTAAAAAGCGCGTTAGCCTAGCTCCGTAGAATAAAAGAGATCACGAAAGGCGGTGGAAGCCTAAATTCGCAGGATTGTAACTGTGGACACACATAGGTTGTAATGAAACATTTGTATGTATGACACTATTGACTTAAATATATAGTTTATAAGCTACATCTCCGATTTACAAGGGAACTAGTTTTAGAAGCTGTTTCCTTTCTTTTTTTATACTAAAGCAACAATACGTAAAATTGCGCGCGTACACATCGTGTAATGGGAATTCTTCCGGATAATCCGAAATTGTTCTCGACCTCGCCGAGAATCGGACTGAAGGCTATCTATTAATTTGTTTAATTATTAAATATTAAGCTAGGATTGTATTTAGGTAAAATTGAAATTTGGAATTCATAGAAAGATAAGATTTTATCAAGATTCATTTGTATATCACTCCTCGAAAATAATTTCACGAAGATTCTTTAATTTTTATCATTCGGAAAATATCGATGCTCTTAATTGTTGAATGTGGTAGTAAAAATTATGGGTTTCTTCTACAATACAGTGGCTAATTCATTTAATTCAACCCCCTCGCTACAAGATAACAGCTGCTTCAAACAATTTCCCAGTGACCACCCTGTATATCGTATGCATTTACTAAAAGTTATTGCATGAGAACATTTTAAATATATGATTGTTTTAATCAGAAAACGTCAGGCTCAACTACGACCGAATAATTCTACCTTTATCTTAATTCTCGGGGAACTTGAAAAAACCTGTAACCACCCAGGCAGAACAAATATCTAAGAGATGTCTTAAAGATGCTCAATTTTTATTTTAGATATCTTTCAGACGTTTTGGAGAAATCTTTTAAAAATATGTTCTATCTAAATAGTTGGCCACCTTTTCAAACTTTATTAGATCAAAAATCGCGATCTCGATGTCGTGATCGATATCAAAACCAACATCGATATGATATAAATGACAGGAGGATTAAATGAAAAATATGTAAAGATATAATTATACATATTTAACTGACATTGGAAATTAGGAAATTGCTACGAATTAAATTGGACAAACGGATAATAATTTCAAAATACGTAACCTTAAAAACTAGCCATTCGGCAATAACATGCGATATTAATCAGCGGCTTATGTAATCCCAGGAGAAAAAAGATCATGAAATTTGTTTATATACGACTATATATAATCATATATGTCCACAAGGAAAAAATGTTGTTTACAAATTATCTACAAATACAATCGAAGTAAATGCTTCTGACAGCACATAATAATATCGACATTTCATTAAATGTCATAACATCATTTGTTTCATATGGACATGTATGATCATATATGTAACCACATATATGGGTAAAATTTATATATAATTTCATTTAATTATATATAATCATGTATAATAATTTTTTCCCAAGATTCCCTTTAAACGATGCCAACATATCGCATATTGTCATATTAGGCTTATATGAGATTTACATTATTTCAGTGTGTGTGTTTTGTGCTCTTTTGTCCTCTCATCTCCCTTTTTTTTTTAACGAAAAACATTTACACACGTGACGAGTCGCTGGGCGACAAGGGAGCAACGCGACAGCCAATGAACAGCCATTTTCCACCATCGCCTTTGGAATAACGCCAAATCGATTGGCTGTCCCCTAGCTCCCTTATCGCACGAGTGATAATGCGAATGTGTTTAGGAACGTTCACACTGGTCACACGGAGGAAGGAAGGGGAAGGGATTCTGTCCGCGGTCGCGACGCGTCGTAGTGGTGGGGGCGTCTTGCGGCTGGTTGGCGCGGTGGCTTCGGAAATTTTGAGGTTATATAGCGAGCGCTTGGCGTGGATCGGGTTTCCGGTCGACTTGCCGCTTTATAAGGACGACGTAACATCGGCACAGCAGACGCGTCTCGTCGTCGGTCGAAAGTGGGCGCGTTACGGCTTATGTGAATTCGGCGTTTGCACGCACGCACGCACGGCAGAGTGGACTCGATGTCGGTAACATGTCGGTTGCGAACAACATTGGGACGACGCGGGTGCACAGATTGGCCAGTCCGGCCGTTTGACGAATATTTATGAATACACGGGATGATCTGAGACGACGGTGTCCAACGGTACAACATGGTGAAAGAGAAGGCGAATTCGACCCGCATCTACGATTCGGAAGGCTACAGACGCAGAGCTGCCTGTATCTGCGTGAAGAGCGATCTCGAGGACGAGGTGAGCCAGCAGATGGCAGCCCCCTGTATTTTTGCCGGCGTTAGGCTGTTGTACGCTCGAAACGAATGTTTTCTTCGTTGTTTTTTTTTCCGTTTTTCTCCCCTGTGAAAAAGCTGATTGCTCGAACTCACCGATCAGCTGGACTTGGTCTCGTTGAGACCGATGTGAGTGAGTCGAGCGGATCTGTTCGTGCATCGTCTCTAATCGTAGCGTAAATTGTAGGTACTATTAGTTACATCCAGTCGGAAACCTGACAGTTGGATAGTACCGGGTGGTGGTGTCGAACCGGAGGAGGAACCAGCGGTCACGGCTCTTCGTGAGGTCCGAGAAGAGGCTGGCGTTTTAGGACAATTAGGCCGTTGTCTTGGCACATTTGAGGTTATAACTTGTGATGTATGCTACACACACACACACACACACACATTGATATTGTTATATTCCTTCTTTAGTTGCAGTGGTTCATCAGTACAGTGCACTCTCTTTCTGTCTTTCTCCCTTCCTTCTTATCTATCTTCCAACTATCTTTCTTCCTCTTGCTCAGTATATATGTTGTAGCTTTATGTGGTCTACCAAACCAATCCCTTTTTACAGAATGTGGAACACAAGCACAGGACGCAAGTGTGGGTTATGCGAGTGACCGAAGAACTGCCAGAGTGGGAGGACTCACGCGCTATCGGTCGGAAGCGAAAGTGGTTTACCATACAGGAGGCTCTCCTCCAACTCGGTCAGCATAAGCCCGTCCAGCGCTCTTATCTGCATAGCCTCCACAATACTAATCCTCGACATAATCCTACCACATCACCATTGTCCCATCATTCGCACTCTACGATGGCATCTATCGAATTAGTAAATAATTCTAGTAACAATCCCCATTCGGATAAACACAGCTAATATCATCGTGAGTCATCAATATTTCCATCAAAAACTTGGTCGCCATGAATTCTTGGAGCAATTCGCTGTTACTCCTCCTTTCTCCCCTTAAGGGAATTATGATAATACTGCTACAATTTTATACGTAAATTAATATTACTTATACTTACCTTTATTATCTAATATTATTATCGATTATGTGTTACTACAATTATTATTTAATTATGTTTATTCATATAGATTATTGATAAAGCAGTCCACGGAGGAAGTATCTTCTGTGAATGTAGCCTTTCGTTTCTAACGTGACTTTTAATGGAACGCAAAAGATAAGAAATGAAGTAAATTGTTTAATTTTATTATTTAATATTTGTGCCTAATATACATAGAGTATCATCTTCTTTTCACAACGCATATCTTGCTTAGTTGTGACAATTATCACTATAACTTTTTCTACATTTTCTAGGAAGAAAGAAAAAGTTATATACTGGTTAGAATTACAAGCAGCAGATTGCATGTATCTTATAGATTAAATTCTTGAATAAATTTTATAATGATTGATTTCTGTGAGTTATATATATATATGTATATATATATAAAATATCCACAAAAAATATTACTTTACATTATCTCTCTCTGGTACAAACTGAGATTTTGTAACTTGAGTTTTCTACATGCAAGGACAAACACCATCATATGATATAATGTAACGCGCGCGCGCATGTGTGTGTGTGTGTGTGAGAGAGAGAGAGAGAGGCATTTTATATATATATAATGCATTCGTTATAGATATATTGATTAATATTTCATTATTTGAGTTTGTTTTTCACTAGGGAACGATTTTAGATACCTATAATATTCTATAATATATTCTTGCAATATTTTTTGTGATAACAAATAATTTTTGTGTAATTTAGATAAAAAAAAATCTCCATAAAGAAACAAATTAACGCGAAAGTAAAACGACAAACTTTTGTAGCAAGTTCCGATGAAACATTAAATTTGTACTACTTAAAAATAAAGCTGCGTATCTTTACACAAATCCTTTATATCAATATTTTTCTTTAACTATTTTAAAGTTAATGGTAATACGTTTCTTCTAGAAACATTCTACAACTTGTCTCTAATTTTCAGATAAATTTCCGAATATGAAATGTATTTTTATGATGCTACATAAATCTAAATCGAAATTATTACTGGCACAATTTTTTATGAAGTTTGTCAAAATCTACCATATAGACGAAAGAAAACGGATAAATTTACACCGTTTCTACTTGAAAGTATAAATTTTCCCCTTTTATTCGCGTATTCCCAAGAAGCGAACGAATGGATATGCAACGTTCATTAACAAATAAGTGGAAAAATTTGAAGTTCGCTCTTTAAAATTCGTAATATTTATCAGGTTTTTGGTTAAAATTAATTTTCCATGTAATATTTCAAGCAAAAGATGAAATTAAAAATTATTCAGTTACCATTCCTCATTCAACACGATATATCTTATAGCGTATTAGGCACACTGCGCTGATTCTGCTCTGGTGCCGTCTCGATATGGTAGCGGAACAATCTGTGGTTTAACTACGTACAGTTGCGACAGTAGCTGTCAGCTTCTTTGATGTCAGTGGTCATCGATCACGTGACTGTCGGCCATGTTGTGAGTTGTACTGGCGCTGAATTTGAACGATATCAAGAGACATAGTACTCCTTATATTATTAAAGGACTTGAGAGTTTCATATATTACATGCAAAGAGCATACTGAATATTGCAATAATTAGAATTATTTACGAGCTCTCAACAAGCTCTACTTAAAGATCTATAAGTTATCAACTATCTATCAAAGTATCTATAAGTTAACAACTTGTTTTAGAGTCACTAGTATCTGAACTGAACACTTAGAGCTATGTTATAGGTTAGCGGTGTTATTTCGATGGTTTAAAAAATATTGTGCCACCTGGAGGGTGCATTGGGAACTGATGGGTTAAAATATAAAAACTTAAAAAAAATATATTTAACAAAATATTCGCTAGTTAAAAATTATTTATTCGATTTTTTAAAAATAGTTAAATTCGCTAGTTAAAAATTATTTATTCGATTTTTAGAAAATTATTTATTCGATTTTTAGAAAACTTAAAAAAAATATATTTAACAAAATATTCGCTAGTTAAAAATTATTTATTCGATTTTCTAAAAATCGTTAAATTCGCTAGTTAAAAATTATTTATTCGATTTTTAGAAAATTATTTATTCGATTTTTAGAAAACTTAAAAAAAATATATTTAACAAAATATTCGCTAGTTAAAAATTATTTATTCGATTTTTTAAAAATAGTTAAATTCGCTAGTTAAAAATTATTTATTCGATTTTTAGAAAATTATTTATTCGATTTTTAGAAAACTTAAAAAAAATATATTTAACAAAATATTCGCTAGTTAAAAATTATTTATTCGATTTTTTAAAAATAGTTAAATTCGCTAGTTAAAAATTATTTATTCGATTTTTAGAAAATTATTTATTCGATTTTTAGAAAACTTAAAAAAAATATATTTAACAAAATATTCGCTAGTTAAAAATTATTTATTCGATTTTTTAAAAATAGTTAAATTCGCTAGTTAAAAATTATTTATTCGATTTTTAGAAAATTATTTATTCGATTTTTAGAAAACTTAAAAAAAATATATTTAACAAAATATTCGCTAGTTAAAAATTATTTATTCGATTTTTAGAAAATTATTTATTCGATTTTTAGAAAACTTAAAAAAAAATATATTTAACAAAATATTCGCTAGTTAAAAATTATTTATTCGATTTTTAGAAAATCGATTTTTAGAAAATCGAATAAATAATTTTTAACTAGCGAATATTTTGTTAAATATATTTTTTTTAAGTTTTCTAAAAATCGAATAAATAATTTTCTAAAAATCGAATAAATAATTTTTAACTAGCGAATATTTTGTTAAATATATTTTTCTACTCATAAAAATATATTTTTCTACTCATATTTTTTCTATTCAATATTTTCATATCGAAACTGAGATCATATGGAATATTCGAGAATTTTGAATATCGATAAATATATCTCTACCTCAGGGTAGTCCATAGCCACAAATGAGAAGATCAGCTGTGACGAGTAACACGTGTAAATTCATTTGATCTCATTGGTAAGAAAGATAAAACCCATTCCAATTGACAAAATATTAATTGTAATATTATTTCAAAAGCGTTACATTTAATTCGTGGATTCACTTAAGCTTAATTTAATCTGCAAAATTTTCTCAAACATTCTTCGAGGTTAGCGTCCGATTGTAACACGTCTCATACCGCGTGGGTAAATAGAAAGTCACTGGAAATCGATCGGGTACGGACAAATTTATAGAGTATCGTTTCTTTTAATCATTTTAACGCGGAAATTACAACATTTTCTGTTCCATATAGCTATTTGCAGTATAAAGATGACTGAAGAAATGGAAGTGGAAGCTTTGAAGCATGTTAAGAATGAAGACGAAATGAGCGACGACGACGCGGATTCCAAGGAAAATGAGAGCGATAACGAAAACCGAGAGAAAACAAAGGTATATCTTCCAGGGCAGGTTCTGGAAGAGGGAGAAGAACTCGTCGTTGATAAGTCGGCATACAGATTACTACATCAAGCACAATCAGGCGCGCCATGTCTGAGTTTTGATATATTGCCCGATGATTTGGGTAATTCAAGAGAGAATTATCCTTTAACTATGTATATAGTTGCCGGAACACAAGCCGCACAAGCTCATGTTAATAATGTTCTCGTCATGAAAATGCTTAATTTACACGGTACTAAGCAGCGCTCAGAAGATTCAAAGAATGAATCAAGCGATTCAGAAGATTCAGAGAATGAATCAAGCGATTCAGAAGATGAGAGCGTAGAATATAACCCGGTAATGCGTGTTGCACCTATAAGACACCAAGGATGCGTTAATAGAATAAGGTAATTGCTTCTTATAATTCAGTATAAATATAGATTCAACATAAATGTTTTTATTCAAATCAAATCATCAAATTTTAAAATATAAGCTTCTAAGGTACAAGAAATCATGTTAAGGGAATAAAAATATAATGGTTGCATCGCACATATGTATATGAAACCTAATATTTTTATCATGATACATTGGATGATAAATAAGTGTGCTAAAAAGATATTTAATGTAGATTGATACATCAACTCCTATGCTCAGCTCATCAATCCAAATTGTTTAGATTGATTTTTTTGGTTATTATACATTTTATCCTACTGTAAGCTACTATGTTACAGAGTGCTATGAAATTGTCAACTGCAAGTGTTATGATTACTTTCTTATTAACTTACGCAAATTATACATTTATGATTGTTATTTTTATGAAGATGTGCAAAAGTACGTGAAGCACCTCTGGCGGCCAGTTGGAGCGAATTGGGGCGTATAAATGTATGGGATTTGCGAGAACAGTTGAGCGTAATCGAGAACCCTGGCTTGCTTGCCGCTTATCGTAACAAGTGCGATAAAGAAAAAGGTGGGGGCGTTAAGCCGCTCTTCACATTCAAAAGTCACCTATCCGAAGGGTTCGCCTTGGACTGGTGTCCGACGAGACCGGGCGATTTAGCGTCCGGCGACTGTAAGGGCAATATTCACATATGGCGAATCGGTAACGACAGTCCAACGTGGCAGATAGACCAAAGGCCGTTCAATTCGCACGCACCGCACAGCGTGGAAGATCTGCAGTGGTCGCCGTGCGAAAAGGATGTACTCGCGTCGTGCTCAGTGGACAAAACGTTCGTATCTTCGTGTTCGCGTCACAAACTCTTTACCATAACTGCTATCCTACGAATTTTTTTTTGATGACAGCATAAAAATCTGGGACACACGAGTGAGTCCAAACAAGGCGTGCATGCTGACGGCGTCCGGTGCTCATCGGGCAGACATCAATGTGATCTCATGGAGCCGGATCGAAAGCCAGTTTATAGTTTCGGGAGGAGATGACGGGCTGCTTTGCATATGGGACCTGCGACTTCTCGGTTCTTCCAACGCAGCAGATCCGATAGCCATCTTCAAGCATCACTCAGCGCCCGTCACCACCGTGGAATGGCATCCCACGGAAAGCACGGTATTCGCATCCGGAGGCGCTGACAATCAGATCGCGCAATGGGACCTGTCCGTGGAAGCGGACACCTTGGAAGCGGGGCAAAACGACGAGTTGGCCAAGCTGCCACCGCAGTTGTTATTCATACACCAGGGTCAATCGGACATCAAAGAGTTGCATTGGCACCCGCAATGCCCGGGGACTATGATATCAACCGCACACTCAGGCTTCAATATATTCCGTACGATTAGTGTGTGATAAAGATTCATGAGGAATTGGACAAATGTGTGACACACTGCATATTTCGTCAAGATATAACCGTACAATTTTTATCCTCTACTCACTCATAGTTCCCTTTTCTCGAGATACGTAATTTTCACCCGAGAAATTCGATTACTTACGCAGTATAGTCAGATTTGTAATTTGTTACAAAAAGAAAATGTGTGGGAACTATGATATCAACCGCGCATGGATCAAACCGAGAGATTCGATCGGTCTGTAACTTAGTATGTATGTAGTTTCAAAAAGCTTACTTCGCTGAAAGTTGCAGTTGATCGTTTGTAAGTAAAGATTTTTAGATAAAAACAGCACAATTCATTCACTTGTTTATTAGCAGCAATGACAACAAATGTCGTATGGTAGGCCTCCCATGCGGGCAATTCCACGGGCTCTGCATTTCAGCCATCTGCGTTATGAGTCTCTGCATCTCGCTGGTGTTCAAAGCCGTGCCGATCATGACCGCGCTGCGGCACGCCCTGGACGCCAACATCTGCCTGACACGACTCGGCCGAAAGATGTGCTTCTCTTTGTTTTCAGCGCCTCCTTCTCTGATGAGGAACGCGAGTTCTTCGATATCCTCTTGGCCAAACTGCCAACCACCGCTGACAGGCATCCCTATCAGTTCTATCTTCTTGCCAGATTCAGCTGGGGAATAGCAACACGCGGGAAATCGTCTCGATATCTTATTATCTAAATTCACATTGTAACACTCGATCGATTTTGTTTTTCAATTGCAAAACAGCACTGTACCTTGCTCGTCGATTTTGAACGTAAACCCATTGTCTTCGAAGGTCTGCTGATGCTCTATAAGTATCGTTTCGTTCAGTGCGTTGAAGTTTAGTGACTTCGGCACAATAAGCTTTTGCGTTTTCAGCTTCGTCCCGTTGCTGAGCTTCTCGAAGCGGAATTTCTCATCGGTGGCGTGTTGGTCTATGATGAAGAGATCCTCGTCCAGACGAGCTATTATGAAACCAAGATTAAACTGACCTATTATCTCCATCTGTAACAAATTTCCAGATCTCAGGTGCTGCTCAAAATATAACTGTACGATGTTCTAGGCATTAGTTATTATACCGTGAGACTTGACAACGGCATACGTATTACAGTGAAAACGATTACTCGATTCGATGAAAACAATTCGCAAATCTTCGGTAATTCTCTGGAATTGTCGATTATTTTCAACGACAGCATAAACAATGAATCACTCTCAGTGTAACATGCTAACACCAACCTTGCCAAATGAATCTTTCGTCAGCTCTCTTTGCAGTTCCTTCTCAGCGTCACCTTGATCACCTTCCATCTGTATTCGGTATTTTATTCTTTTTTTTGTATTGGCGGGTGTCTCAACTACGTTCTCTCTTGCCTTCAGCTTCTCTTTTATCATTGTCAGACTTATCGTCATTTCTGCATTCATAGGCTTCTTCCTTAACTTTATATCATCTCTCGCTTTATGTAACACCGAAGGTGATGTCTGCAGCCTTTTGGCTGGCGGATGCGCGTAGCTCGGCGAGATCGCTCTCTTCAAGCCGAAATTCAGTTCCGTCAGGGTCTTAGCTGTGAAATTCCCTTGCATCTTGTCCCATTTCGCCGTCAAGCTGAACTTCAACGTCGCAAGGATGAGACGTTCCTGCGTGAAAAATATCGTCCTCTTATCGGGCGTGACGTTAACGTCGGCGGACTGCCGGTCCAACTTGATATTCAGAAAGACGAACGGATACTGCTTATTGTTGTACTTGTGGTACACGTTGTTCACCAGTTTACTGACTTTCGTGAGATCGCAGGGTCGGCCGTTTACATAAAAAAACTGTCGATCAGGGGAGGAACGTCCGGTCGCGTGGTCGCAGACGCTCACGTAACATTCCCAGTCGAAGTCCACGGTAACGTTGTCGGGCAGATTGAATTCTTGCAATGTCGCCTCGTTGGGAGATTGTAACTCGAGCGTCACGATGCCGTCCAGAGCCTTCTTGCCGAACACAGAGTTCACATTGTCCAGAACGTTGTCGCTGTTCCTCGTAGCCACTATGAGATTAGGCGATTTGCCCGATACCAAATTGTAACAGGTGATTTTGATGTCGGTGGAAACCAAGCAATAACCGTACAAAACTTGGATAGCGCGAGCGTACTCTTTTCTCAGGTTCTTTTGGAACTCCTTAGCTCGCACAGGTAGATTCTTGAATATATTCCTCACATGCACTGTGGTGCCTCTCTCTCTAGCGCATGGCTCTTTCTTCGTTAATACACCATTCCGGTCGAATTCCAATTTAAAGCCGTGCTCGCTCGACGAATGCCTGCTGACGATACTTAATTCAGACAAGGCGCACAATGAGCTCAGCGCTTCGCCTCGGAAGCCGAATGTGTTCACTTCTGTAAGGTCTATGAACTCTCGGAGCTTTGACGTGTGATGCTTCAAGCCTGATTGAAAAGAAAGAAGCCCCTTTATGATTACTTTGAAAACAATTTTCGATTTAATACATTCTGAGATTACAAATACAGAATATTCGATAATTTATGCCTTTACATCTGAATTTGACAAGGTGTCTGATTACATTATCTCACATTGAATATTTTAACATAACATTACCTAAGCCCTTGAAATCTTGCTCCAGGACACCGCTACCATTATCGTTCACACTAATGCATGTTTTACCATGATCGTTCAATTTAACATCAATTACTGTAGCACCACTGTCTAAACTGTTCTCTACTAACTCTTTGACAGCGATAGCTAGATCCAAGACCACCTAACAAAGATAATAAGCAAAGCAGATCATTCAACAAGTAAAAAAGAAGGAGCAAGCCAGTCTAATCGGGTAATTAGATGATAAGATACTATCATTAGTAGAAAATGAATTTATAACATTTTGTGTTTACATTTACAGGTTACTTAACCTTACCTGGCCCGAACAAATATGATGAATTGTTTCTTTATTTATAGCTTTTATCTTCTTCGATTTTTCGATCGTTGCAACAGGTTCGTCCATCATTTCACTTATATATTACGTAAAATTAATCAATAATGTAAAAAAAATCATTAGTAATACTGAGTCTTTAACACACTCTTATCATGCTTCCGACGAGCACTCGTACCGGCATAATTTCTATGAATACTGATTTAAATTGTTTGAATGAAGTAATTCTACAAATATGTGTTTAATAATAAAGTATCTCTACAAAAGAGTTTTTAATAATTATCAGACTCAAATTTTCTCACTATATGCACTGTATTTGATGCAAATAATACATATAACCTAAATAATTTGTACATGCAAATTTATTAAATGTACACATGTGACCATTTGGTTCTAGGTGTATTTTTGACAGATGAAATAATAAGACAGCATTACTTATATTAACAAAATAATATGACCAGATGTCTTCTTAAATATGAAAAAATCTTCATTTATAAAACAAAATACAAAATTCTACATAATATATATATATATATATATATATATATATATACAATAAGATATAACAGTAATAATGACTCACTGTCTTACTATATGTTTATTAACAACATCTGCCGTACATTCGTTAATATATACTATATTCCTATTAAGAACAACAATTACAAGTCAGATCTGATACCAAATCCAGGACCTGGTGGCGGAGTTGTTAATGATGTAAGACCACCAGCAGGATCAGCCGCATATCTAGTAGAGTTTTGTGGGCCTGGTGGAGGTCTTTCTCCTTTCTTAAAAGCATTTATTATAGCTTTTGCACTTTCTGGAGTCAAATCTTCCTAGAAAATACATGTTAAGTATGATATTATTACATTACATGATATTATTACATACCTGAAATTGGAAAAAAGAACTAATATCCATTTTTTGAAATTTTACTTTATAAACGTTAAAATTTGTGAATGCTAAAATTTCTAAAAATTTTCTAAATCATAAATTTTGTCCACGTACTAACAAATATATATATATATATATATATAAATATATATATATATATATATATATATATATATATATTTGTTAACACATGGAAAAAATTTATGATTGTACTTAGAACTTTCTAAATCATAAATTTTGTCCACGTACTAACAAATATATATATATATATATATATATATAAACATGATAACAAATAAATATATATATATATATATATTTGTTAACACATGGAAAAAATTTATGATTGTACTTAGAAAATTTTTAGAAATTTTAGCATTCACAAATTGTAACGTTTATAAACTAAAATTTCAAAAAATGGATATTACTTCTTTATGTATATGTAATTAAACAAAGTAACACAATGTATGCCATCTCAAAATATTTGCAGATTTTAGAACTGAAAATTTAAAAAGGATATATTACTCCTTGATAGATTTCATTATACAAATATAATAGTAATATCATTATATCAATTGTTTCTAATGAGAAAATAAATATACATACATAGTAATCATCATTCACTTGGAACATAGGGGCATTGGCGCAAGCACCAAGACATTCTACTTCAGAGATTGTGAATAACTTGTCGGCAGAAGTGCCACCAATCTCACAGTTTGTAGCCTTTGTCACAGCTTCGACTATCGAGTCAGAATCTCGTAACCAGCATGGAGTACAGGTACAAATCTGCACATGATATTTCCCCATGGGTTTCCGATTGAACATTGTATAGAATGTAGCTACTTCGTATATTCTCATGCGTGGTAGATCCAATATCTCCGCAACTTTGTGCATGGCTGAGATGGGTAGCCAGCCATGCTGCCGTTGAGCCAAATCCAACAGTGGTATCATGGCACCACGTTTGTGACCTTCTGGATAAATTTTGAGGAGTGCCTCTATACGTCTCTTATTAGCATCATTGAACTCGAATGGTATGCTTGGATTGTCATGCTCGCTATCTCTGTGCTGAAATTAAAATGCAATGTAAATGTTTTGGTATATTTACTGGTTAAAGGGAAAAAGATCATAATATCATCACATACAATGAACAGCTGGTCTGATGCACAGTTTGCTGTTGTTTGTACTGCTCTAATATTTTTCTGAGCCTGTTAGAAATAAAATGGATTTTTTATATATAAGCCAAATGATAGATCAAGCGATAGCTGTCAAAGCTGTTATGGATTTTACAAGTAGAAGAAATTCTGTCACTCCTGAAATGTATTTTTGTTTTACAAAAATCTAAAATATAACTGACAAAATTCTAACACTGAAGATTAAATTATTTGATCTTTTAAACTGAATTGGAATACGAATTAAGTATTTGTATATTATACGTAAGATATTATATAAGATATTTTGGAGGTTAGAAATTTAAGTAAATGCAAAAATAAATTCTCGGGCTCTGATCACTCACAAGAAGTCCGCAAGCTCGACGCAGAGACGTCAACATATCGGCACAGCTGAGAGACAAACGACGTGACGCACTCTTATTCACCACAACAGTACAAAACGTCAATTAATCGCTACTTCTGATGTGATCAAAATCATATGACACTAAACTTCGTTCCTTTCTTCAACAGATGGCTCTATAAGCCTTATTAAAAGCTTGTTCCCAACATGGAAAAGTTAGAGGTATGTACTCAAAAGCTCATGTATTTATATCTGTAATAAAAAAAAACTTATTCCCAACCCCCATTTGGCTGTGTAAAATCATAGAAAGTAATTATTTAATATCGAGACTTCACTTCCAATATTATTATAATTATGCTTATTCTTTTGCTCGAAACAAAAGAAACTGGTAGAAAAAATTGTCGTTCCGCAAATGAAGTTATTAATCGTTAAAGTTGTCGACTTGACAAGTCAGAAAATCTGTTACGAGCAAAAACGCGTTGAATAAGTCTAATTATAACTATATTGGAGGAGAGGCCCCTATATTTAATAATTACCTCATAAAAAATACATAGCCCCAATTTCGATCGACAAATAAATTATCCTCTGGCTACGTTCCGAAACCGTAAGTCGACAGATAGAATATCATTAAATTAACCAGATAAAGAGAAACTTTTGTTCCGATTGGTCAATTAAATCCTACTCCTATTAAATATCATTTTTTTTATAGGTCTGTTCGTTTTTGCTGCACCGCTGAACTAGTGCAATAAGTTGAAGTGAGAAAATATATACTTGTCTCAACTAATTGCACTAGTCCAGCGAAAACGAACAGACCTTATGTTTTCGAATTCAATTAATCCCTATGTCGAAAGTTCCCTAAGTATCACTAGGTTTTGTTTGATTCCCTTGAATACCGCTACGAGCAGCCACTGTCTCCACTAACAAAAACTGACCCGATCTAACTTAACCTAACTTAAAACGACAGAAGCAAAACAAGTTTGAATCAAGTTCTTTAAATGATAAGTTATTTTATGTACTGAATGTAATTTATTGGACATATCATTAAAATATTACGTTAAAAAACAAAAGTAAATTAAATTGTAATAGCATTATGAAGGAAACAGTGAAGGATTTAAATAACACCATGAATGAGGAACATATCCATGGAAATGGAGAGGTAATTGTACAATTGATGACTTTTCTAACCTCGCTTATTTTAACTTTTTATATTTTATTCCGTATTTTTTAACGTATACAATCTCTTTTTATCAAGTGCAGTTTTATTAAATTTGTGCCAATCTTCATTATGTAGGTTATAATCAAGTTTCATAAACTTAAATCTCTTGAAATGATTAATGGCATCATTATTCTTAGAGATATTTCATTTATATTATGCTCTTGGAAAGAATTTTCATGCTTTTATGTAACAGGCAATTGTCCCTGAGGAGTCTCTTGCAAAACAAAAGTTGAGAGGATGGTTAAATCGACATCTGCGAATTGAAATGACCGACGGAAGGGTTTTAAGAGGAGCATTTCTCTGTACCGATCGTGATGCCAACGTTATTCTTGGCTCCTGTACTGAATTTTTGTCCACAGAACATACTGAAGCTAGAGTATTGGGTTTGGTAATGGTACCTGGTCGACATATTGTTTCAATACATCTGGATGTTTGAAATGCAGCATTACTTATTTTATTCTTCTGTAAATAATCCATTGTGTCTATTTATTATATCAACATTGTTATTATGAATGTATTATGTTTTATCTAAATCTTAAAGATTCAGTTTCTGTGATTCAGATAAGTATGTAAAAATCAACAGATATAAATAATGTTATCAAATATTAATATATTTGTTACCGCACATATTTATATTTTACCCGACTTTAATTTCATTAAAGCAATTTCATGAAGATTGTCGATAAAATTGAGAAAATTAAAAATTATACATGCTTATAATGATATACGGTAATTGTTTAGTATAGAGGTCTCACCTCCAATATTGCTGTAATTATGCTTATTCGACGCGTTTTTACTTAAAATGAAAAAAATTGGCAGAAAAAATTGTCGCTCTGCTCCACAAATGAGGTTATCAATGATTAAATTTGCCGACTTGACAGGTTAGGAAATCTGTCACATCGACGAAATATAGCGACGTGTGTGTCGTGGTCATATGCGCATGCTCTGTGACCACGATGCGGAAAGTGCGCGAGTTTGAAATATATATATATACTTATGTGGCGGCTATACTCTATCTCGCTTGCATGCGAGCTCGCCGGCGAGCTAGTCTTTTGTCACACGCCGGCGAGCTAGTCTTTTGTCACTGCACGGCTAGTCTTTTGTCGCTGTACGGCAGGAGAACAGTGGAGAATAGCCCGCCGTTAGAGCTGCATCGTTCTAGTGTTTCTATACGAAATAAAGGAGTCTTTCTTAATCTCTGTGCTGAGTACTCAGTGGGTACATGCCTAGATTCTTCTCGGGCTATCCCTTCTAAACCTCCACACTTACAATGCATTTCTCATTGAAATTACCGCGCGATTTCAATGATAAATGAATATAAGTATTTAATCTTCGTCTGTCGCTCACTATTCATTAAAAAGACATCAATAAAAGAAGTGTTCAGTTGACGATCAAAGGAAATACGTACACATCGACCGGTGCTTAAAATCTTTCCGCTAGGCCACCAATTACGGAAATTCCGTTTACAAACGAGTGGGCTCCGAAAGCCCACATGGGTGATCGGCTAATTTAATATAAAATTTTTTAATTGGTGGTTCTCTTAAAGAGAAATTAAACTAAACTTTTTACGTATTTGGTACAACGAATGTCGTATACTCAGGCATAGAACGCAGCCCTCAGTTAAAAAGAACAAACCTGTTGACTTCTGCGCCATCTGGTATACAGTCGTCCGGACGCGTTTGTTAAGTTAGGTCGGATTAGGTTATGTTGTGCTTTATGCTTTGGTCGTATGATACAAGCTAAGTGATCAAGTGGATAATGAATACACAAGAAAATATCAAATCAGCGACGTGAGAATGTAAATACATAGAAGGTGTGTTATTTGTAGTCGTTGCGTATAAATCCCTGTTGCTTGCACACTGCTATAACAAGAAGACTGGTAGACGCTCGTTCTCGACTACACTGTTACACGCTTAGGATGGATTATGCAACAATTGTCGATCGAGCTGTCAAAGAATTCTACTCAGTGGGCAGCAATGAAGCTCATTCGTGGTTACTGCAAGTACAAGCCTCCCCCGAAGCCTGGCAATTCGTGTGGGAACTTTTGGATCCTTCTAAGGTCTGCATCTGAATGGATCACATTGTTCCTGTTCCATGATATATTTTTTCTCTCGTTATTTATATTTTCGTGCAATATAAAGCTTCATGCGTCACCATGGTTCTGCCATCGGATGCCCAAAGAACTTTGCAATCGTGGCTAAACAATTATTACACCGCGATGTTTTTATATTTCGCAACACGCATGACATAAAAGAAGTGGATGTAATAAATTATAAATATCATGAGACAGATGATTTATTTAACTATTTAAATTTAATTTGGTCTATCTTTTTTTTTTGACATGTCCTATTTTTGCAGTCTGGAGAAGTTCAATTTTTTGCAGCAACAACTCTACATACAAAGATAATTAAGCAGTGGGATGAAGTACCTGAAAATGACTATCCAATGTTAAGGGATTATTTGGTCAAGAGTCTGAAACAGCCCAACACTCCCAAATTCGTTCTTCTGAAGCTTTGTCAAGCGGTAATACTTGTTATATATGATTTAAAGGAACATAAACTTCCTCCTAATGCATTTGTTAAATTATTCATGTTAACTGACTATTTCACTAATGTATGATAAACATACAATAATTGGGACTATAGGGCTGCCTATTAATTAAATTGTCTCTAAAAAAAGTTTCCTATTTATTTTACCGTTTTTAATAGAAAAGATTCATTTTTGTTGGAAAACACCAGGTTTTTACCACTGCCGTGGACTTTATTAAAAAAATCTGGAATTTTGTCGACCCTGCTCTATACGTAATTCAACAGTCACAAATTGTTCATCATTAATTTCAGTTTGCTGCGTTTATGGTCAATAGTTACAACGTAGCAAAAGTAGAGGAAGATACAAGTATAGTCGATGACCTATTTAACGCTTTAACCCCGACTAATTCGCAATCCATGTTGGAATTGTTACTTCGAGTACTTTCGTTGCTGCCTGCCGAGGTAAGACACGTACAAGATTGTGCTTTAATTTCACAATAATGACCGTTATTATGTTGTTAGTGTGAAAGGAGACGGCAAATGTGTGGCAATTCGCACATTTTAGTCAGCGGTTGGCGCAAAACTTTGTGCTGCTTGCGATTAATCTTCTCGTCGTGCGACACACTTACATGGTCACCGACGTTAATGATACCTGGTTTAGAATGTACCCTAGCTTGGTTTAAGACTGACAGACTACCGTTGGAGGCTATTGGCCAAATTTATTCGGACCTACTAGTTATGGCGCCCCACTATGCGCCTGATAGGTAGGTTGTCCTTTGAGGAGGAAGAGGATATCTAATATAAGACCAAACGTGATAAGGAAAATAATGTAATGAAACGTCGACCCTGTTTCTCTCCCGCAAGGTCTTCGAATTCATCATGTAGCGAGCACGAACGCGGTTGGGAAATAGTACAGGAGTGCTTGATCATAATAGTGACGCACCGTGACCTGAACAAGTGGCCTCAGACCCTTTGGGAATGGGCGAGAGTTCTGACAACAACGGCGAAGGAGCACAATACCAAATACTTCTGCGAAGTGCTCACCGCTATCGGGGAGACTCACAGCCGTGAGTTTCTGATCGCTTTGGCCGGCGGTAGTAACGACATGACGCATAAGCAAACAGCTGCGGACTTGGTCGAACTGCTGCTGGAATGTACGTCTCAACCAGGTCGTTATCCGACGGACGAGACCCGCAGCAGCATTCCGTTTGGATTCTGGTATGCGTTGCAGGACGATTTGGCCACGTTGGATCAGCCGGTCGATAAGTGGGCTCTGTTGGCGTTGAAGCCCATTTACACTCGACTGGCCGAAGCATTGCTGGAAAAGTCGACTCTTCCGTGCCGGCAAGAGCTGAGCAATGCGAACGAGCGCGAGGTGTTCAGATGTTACAGGCAAGATGTGGCGGACACTTTAGACTACTGCTATAAGGTGCTGCAAGAGGACCTGCTGAAAATGGTCCTGGAGAGATTGGGCCGAGCGATATGCAATGACAAAAGCTGGACCGACGTTGAAGCATCCTTGCATGCGTTTAAAGCACTGGCGGAAGCTGTCGGCAGTAGAAACGTCCGCTACGTCTCGGAAATGATAGACGCTATTCTCTCGTACATACCTTACGATCGTTATCCTGCGGAGGTACGTGTACATATATTTCGAGCGTATAAATTTACACCGCTGTGTTTTCAAAACAAAATAGTCTGAAATTTGTATAATATTCGCATATTAATCCTATAGTATTTTTTTAGTAAAATTTTATTTTCATATATATAGCTGAGAGGATATTAAAAATAGAAATTAAAAATAGCACGCTAATTTTCCAAGGTACACATAGGGAAGAGTTTAGTCAACTTTAGTTTAAACAAATATCTCTCAGCTCTTTTCCTAATTGCACGAGCTGTTGGAGCAATACCTCAATCCATACACAGCCTGTGCATACTCATTGTTGGTCATTATCCTGTTACATTTCGCGTATGCGCTGATCGCCAGTGAATTGTGCTTATATTTGTACAACAATACGAGAGATTCGCTCGATACGCGCAGGTAATGGCGACAGCTTGTTCAGCATTGGGCGCATTCGCCGAGTGGATCGGCGAACACCCCGACCGCAGGCTGAAGGAGGTGCTGCAGTTCATCACTCTAGGACTCACCAAGGGTCCCGCTATCGCACCCTTCGCAAGTATGGCATTGAAGGATGTTGTTAGAGAGAGCGGTAATCATATCAAGCCATTCGCACTGTCCATCCTCGACACGATCAGACAAGCTCTGCCTAGCGTCGCACCAGGTAGCGGGGAAGCTTTGCGGCTGATGTATGCCACCGGCAAGATGCTCAACACCTTGCCGGAGGAGTTACAACTGACGTATCTTGACGCGACGTTAGGGGTGTGCATAGTGAAGGTGAAGGAGCTATTGGAGCAACCGTTGTTCGTGGCGCGAGCCGGCGTGACGAGCCACTTGAAAATGATAGTCGCCTGCCTGTCCACCCTCGAAGGCACGATCGGCAAGGTCGTGTTGGACGGCCTGATACCGCTGTTCCACCAGATCATCGCGCATCCTGAATGGAGCCAGGACAACCTCACGTTGGAAGCGATGTACCTGTGCGCCCAACGCTCCCTACCGTTGTTGCTGCGCCCGGAGACGGACGCACGGCCGTTGCTCTCGATCCTGACGGCATCCTACAAGACATGGCCGCACCAGGGAGCGTTGAACCTGCTGCGCCACTTGATACTGCTGTTCGGGAGAGACCAAGACAACGTCATAAGGTCGGTGCTCGCCGAGATCAGCTCGATAACGCTGAGCGGTGTGAAGGCCTGCAAATCAGTGCAAGGAGACTTGTCCGATTGGTCGGACCTAATGGAAGCGTACCTGGGTGTGCTCGCGCAAATTTGCAAGAAGAACGTCGGGCTGCTGCTGCAAATCCCGGACCAAATACCGGACATGTTGCAGTGCGGTAAGTGCGTAGAAAAAAAGCTAATAATAATGTAAGCTGTGGTAGAAATAGCTGTTGCGATGAAAGAAATACAAGAGAAGAAGATAGACAAGTAAGAATCGGACGCCGGTGTTGGAGCGGGATACAATTTGATAAGAGTGTTTGTACATATATAGAGTGTACCGTTTTTAAATGATGCATTGTCTCGAAAGGCTTTCATTGAAAAATGTTTCGTAGAAAAATTTCGTATTTTCGAAGAGGACACAAGTTGATGACCTTAACCTTCGTTGTAATTAATAATCCACTCGTCATTTCATGCGAATACCTAGAGAGTGTCCCACTACGAATCTTTCCACGCGCGGTTAAGTGGAACGCGCATCCTTCGTTGATAACTGCCAATAAGCAGAAATGTCGCGACTTTCCTCACATTCTCGTTTCCGCCTTATTTTCAGGGATGGCTTGCTTGACGCTGCCGGAAATCTCTACGGTGAAAATAGCCGGTAGCTTTCTCAGCCACGCGATCGCACAAACTCCGCACATGCAGACGTTCGTCCAGCCGATCGGCCAGGAACTGGTCTCCGTAATCTTGCATCACGTCGGTAAGCGGGAATGCCGAAATGTTCACACGGAGCCGTGTTTGCTCGGTTCATTCATTTCTTCTCGTGCTTCTATTAGTTGGAGCAGCTACCCAGAATCATCTGGAACCTTGCGCCGAGGTCCTGTTCACATTGAACAAATTCTACTTCGAGTGGCACGACGTGTGGCTGCGAGCCGTGTTCGAGAGTCAAAGTGATTCCGCCGTGTTGCCAAAGGAGTACACAACGCACATCTTGCGCGAGAGGACGAAAAAAGGGCTCTGCACCACGCTGAAGGAACTCAGTATGCGGTGTCGACAAAAGACGGGACTCTCGTCGAATCCTCGGAATGACAGAACTTTCGAAACGTTGACATAAGACGAGTTTTACTCTGTGACAGACACAACGGTAATATACTCATACGGAAATTAATATAATTTATCCCTTTATAATAAACGCAACCGTGTTGTATATATTCCATACGTTTTTGCATTTCTTCGGATCGTAAGATGTTCATTGATCGCATGTAACGTGGTGCAAGATTAATTGTAGTGAGAAAAAAATGAAATGGAGTGGACCGGGAAGAAGAAAAATACATAAATATATTTCCGATCCTTTTCTCCATCGACTGTTGTATATTAGCTGACAATTAACAACTAATTTATCAAGAGATTGTTAGAAGACGAACTAAAACCAATTAAATAATAATGTATGAAATTGAATTGTGATTTGTGTACTTAGCGATACTTCGCGCGACCGGTTTGTTGTGGGTGAGGCAGAAATATCTTTTTGTTGGATATTATGCTATTTAATTTTGATTTTTTCTTTGCTGTTTGCAGTACAGAAAGAAGGAACACGGGAAAGATCGTCGGAGATAGATTACATATCTTTCTACTTGTACGCTTAATTAATATCACTTTCTTCATGCCCGTATGCGTTACTTGCGTAATATTATTCCACTTGGAGAGATGTACACGTGGTACTACTAATAAAAATCGATCTCTTCCTTTTCTAAAACGCGTTGCGCCGTAAAATAGAATAACCTGGGCTATTCATCAATATTACTGGGAATTGAAATATTTCTCAAGAAGACGGGAGAGATAAATGGACAAATAGAAAGACAGAAAGAGATTTCTCATCTTTTTTTTTAACAAAATGTTAGAACCAATATCCGATTCTCGTGCACGTGTATTTTAATACGATAAAAAAAAAGGTCGACACGCCTATACAAAAAAAAAAATTGCGAAAATATATCATTATCAATCTTCATGATGTACTTTTTCTCCTCTTTGCGTGCATTAAGTTTCAACGGAAAAAAAATCGTCACTCAAAGGCATACCTTAATTAAATTACCCAATTTTCGAAATAACGAATATTCTCAAAGTAAGTCTGATCGCGTAAATCGTCTCAATAAATTACCGTAAAATCAAGAGTTGATCTACGTAAATGACAATACGCCAGTACATTGCGGAGTGTACGAAATATAAAATAAACGATTGATCATTCTCACTTAAACAATAACGTCCTTTATGTTGTATATATTACGCATATAAGTTTGGTGCGTGCATTGTGTGTGTGTGTGTGTGTATATACATTTCGCTCGAAAAGGTCTATATAACGATTCTTTCGTGCACTGGCAGGCGATCGCACATATAGTAAGTACGAAAATCGTTCTCAGCGTAAAATCCTCCGACGAGATACTGGCGCGTTGAAAATCTTGAAAGAAAAATCTGCACGCATTATTATAAAATGTAGAAAACGAGCAGGAACGAAGAGATGGTGGGTGTAGCAATACAGTTGTATAGTTTCTCTCATATTTACATATAATCCGTCGGAGAGATCTCTACTTCCGTCATACCGGGCCGAAGCAGAGTCTTCATTGGGGTTCGCCGCCGTTCGACAGGTCTTGCGCGCCGAATTTCGCGGCGACGCGCGATTTTCTGGGCTTGGACGTTTTTACCGCGGCATTCTGCGGCTGTTGCGACATATGAGGCTCGCTTGGTTCCTCCTTCTTGATCTTATTTACAGTTTCCGACGCTTCGTTCTGCGAATGAGAAGTTTCACTTATTACGTTTCAATATATTCACGAGTAATTGCAATAAAGGGGTGTGACAGTGTGTGCGCATATGTAAATATGTACGTGTGCATATATCTCTCTATATAAACCTTGAGTAACGTCTTTTGGGTGTCTTCCTTTTTTTGTTGTTGTTGTTGCTGCTGCTGCTGCTGCATTTTGGGGTTAGGATTTTTCTTGACGTTTGAACTCACTTCTTTCGGGGTCTGCTTCACGCTGGCGTTTCTGTTCTTCTTCTGAGCCTGCAAGGGTACAAACGCGGTGCTCTGTCTTATTTCTACCTTCGGCTGGCTCGGAGGTTTCCCCTGCTGCAGCCTGCCCTGACTGTACGACGCCGCGGTGTGCTGACCGAAGCCTGGATTCGGCGGTGGCAGTTTCTGGCTCCACTTTGGATAAAATAAGTTGGGCTGCATGTTCAGATTCTGCGGGATCGGCGGCATCTTTGGAGGACACATTGGCATCACAGGAGGCCGGATATTTTGGACCCAAGAGCTGTTCTGCTGGCCGTTGTACCATTGTTGTCGAGGCGCCGGCACCATTTTCGTATCGGGTGTCAACGCCTTATCCAAATTTAACGCCTGCCGACAGAAGTCGCATTGAGGACGCAACACGACGCGATGAAACTCTTGGCAATTTTTCTTATTAACATTTCCTGCTACCTTGTACGTTTTCTTCGCAGCGCTTTCCGCGGCCTGCTCGTGAGTGGCGCAAGGATCACCTCTAAAGGTTGCGTCCTGCAGACAAATCTTGCAGCTGATCAAGCCGGTTTTCTCGTCGATAAAATAATTGTACTTCGGCATGCCGATTCTATTGCATGAGAAATGTTTCAATAATTGCGAGCAATGCCAGATGGGATTAATTTCCTCCTGTTTCCCCTCGGCACGCCGAGCATGCTGTAAAAGTAATATTAAAAATACACAAGCATGAAAAGTAAATAAATATCTTTCTCCCTTCTCCCGGAGTGAGAATACTCGAAAAGGGATGAAGCGCGCAGATATTGCCCTTAACTATCGTACATACGTCAAACCATTGTTGCACCAAAGGTGGCGGTGGATCCGATGTTCGATTCTTTTCCACGACTGTCGTTTCCTGGGACGTTGCCGTGGATGGCGCCATCATCGGTTGGCCGCTCTGTTGCTTGCTCGTCTGCGTATCTCCGTCAGGAATTTTCAACATAGCCTTCAAGAAGGCGCTGGGATCCTGCGGCTGCTACGTAAGAATTCGTCGAATGCAATTCGGCGGCGATGGGAGTTTCAGATTCACGAAATATTCAACGATATTTACCGACTGTACGCTGTGGTTATTGGCGACCGGCTTCATCCTCATGACCTTCTCCGGCGGCGGCACACTCGGCTTCTACCACCGTATATCATATCGAGAATCAGTGATTTACGAAAAAGCAAGCTGAGACTACGTGCAACCGCGACTGACCTGCAATCTGTGCAGCTCGTTCCACAACGCTTGGAACTCGGACGACTGGCTGGCGGAGGCGCTCGGATAATTCTCCGCCGGTTTCTTGCACGACTCCATTTGCGACAGTATGTCCTGATTCAATTTCTCGAGGCCCTTCTTGGCGAGACGCATCTGCGGCGACACTTTCGGCGACTGACGGACGCTCCTCTTCGGCGACGAGGCGCCCGTCATTTGTCGCCAATTTTCCGTCGGCTCGCTCATCGGATTGCCATGCTCCATTCTCTCGCCGTAGCTGATGTTCACGAAATCCGTGGCCGCCAGGCGATAACTGCGCGTCTGCGAGCATCCATTTATCGAGAGTCCACCTGTAATGTTCGCATGGGTGCAGGTATTTTCGCCAGTGAATGGTGACCGACTTCTCGGGACCAGATGCCAATACTGTTTCAGGCTTTTCTCCTTAACTTACGAATAATAGCGGCCGTTTGCATTAATGCATACTGAATTCGCACACTAAGGCTCGCTCACAGTTCGTTCTTATATTTAAGGTAGTCTTAAATACATCTTTAAAAATTTGGCCGATAAAACGACGATCCGTATGAATGTTGTGCAGGTTTTTTTTTTTTTTTTACAGCAATCAATTCCACCCGCCGTTTCATGTGGAAAAGTATTAAGGTGGGTTTATCGAAAAGTGAAAGTTTTATATTTCATATTGAAAAATATCAGGTTAAAATGTAAAATAACTGGAAAAGTATTCTCGACTATTATTTTACACTAATATTTTTATACATAGAATAACTAGAGGAATCGATTTGTGTAAAAAAAAAAAGCCATATGATTCTATTAAAGAAATTCAAATTGAACTTAATTTGACTTTGGCAACGCCATCTAAGGCGTCCTTGGTTTTTTTAAGACACACCTTTTGTCTGAAACATTTTTTCGTAAAATGTTTATTTTCTGAAATATCAGACCGCGTCTCGAAACGTTGTGAACACCCTGTAATAAATCCACCACTGATTTTCGGGCCGACTGGCGGCCCAGGTGGCTTTTATACTCCGACACTCGAAAAACTGTCGGACAGAAAAATTCCGTACTTTAGATAAGTTATATTACCTAAGAAAGGCTTGTCGAACACCACATCGAACATAGTCTCCAACGGGTTGTTATTTGCCTTCTGTATTCCCACGACAGTGCCTTTAGCTCCGATTGGTACGGTGAAGCCGTTTCGAACGCAACAAATACGGTCCAACAAACGGTTCTGGGTATTCGAATCAGGCGCCACGTTGCGCAAATGTAACCCTGGCTTGAAGAGCAAGTGCGGTTGCACCTGTATAATCACTGTCTTGCTATCGGTGCTCTGTGTGTTCAAGTATTCCTCCAATTCCTCTTCGATCTTTCGCACCACTTCCGTGTCCACGGCTTCTACTCCGCAAGCGCGACTCTCTATATCGGACAGTTCCGTTTTCAACCAAGCGATTATATTTTCCAGCTCGTTCGATCTGCGAAGAACGTTGGAGCGTTTGTGATTTTAATTATATTTTATGCACATACGTATATAAATTATAGATAATTCGATAATATATAACAGAACACACGCGTACCCCTTGTCGAACAACTCTTCCTCTTGGAAAATATCGTTCGTCACGTTTCCCGCTAGACGTTCGAACAAGTCAGGACACTTGGCCATGTAATTACGGATCAGTTCAACCGCTTTTGTACTGTACAGCCATTGGTTATTTTCTTTCTTCGTGTAACCAGGTACCTTTAACAATGTCGACGGATCGGAAGATAGGCGCAATATGTAAGTATAGCAACAGCACACAGAAAAAGAAAAAAAGTTAAATTCAAAGAAATAATTACTTCAATATTCCTTAGCAAATTTTTACTAGGATCAAATACATTTTATTTTGATCAAGTAAATGTATTTTACTTAGATCAATTTACGGAACAAATATTTTATTTGTATCAAATAAATATTACTTGATCCAAGTAAAAAATTCGATAGGGAATACTAGAGAAATTATTCACTTGAATCTAACACTTTTTTTCTTTCGCAATCGTTACGAAGTGATAATTTACGTTGAGAGTTCAAATTCGCACGATTTTCCTCACCTCTTCGTTCTTTTTATTAAATTTCAAATTTAATCCGACATTGTGCTTTGTAATGTCCAACTCGTTCGATGCCCGTACGACGTAAATCGTACCGGTGATCCTGCTCAGCAGATGACTGCTTATTCCAAGACGTTGCGCGGCGATACTGCCGTGCATATATCGTGTCTTTTGTTGGGCATGGGTTTGCTTAATGGTGTCCAACGATGGTTCCTTTGCAATCGTCACGGAAATTTGGACTCTGCGTAGCTTCGTGTCATCCATCTTATTTGGCAAAACCTGTTCGTTCGTCAAAAATCTCTTTAAATAGAACTACACGAGCAGTATCCTCAGGGTGCTAACTCAAACCCCGAAAAAAAATTTCCTGAGAATCCCCCGATTTTCCAGGCAATTTATCAAAAATTCCAGGTAAAATAACAGTATTCTTAAATATATTTTACAAGTTAATGTATATTTATTGTGCAAAGGCTCTTTAATATTTTCCACTCGTAAATTCCGCTTTACAAATCATAAAGTAAAATTAAGAATCACTAGAGTTTCGATAATTTGAAAAATTTGGAAAAAAACTGTAAGGACTAAAAAAAAGGAAAAAATATTGTATATTGTATAAAATTTTCAAATTTCTTTTTTTAAAAAGTTACAAACAAGAAATGATGTATTTTATATTGTATAACCAGTATAAGCGCCTTGATCTTATGCACAATTATTTCGTTAACATTTTTTTCTTTCATTATTTAGAATAGATATTTTTCAATTCTCTTCGCTAACACTTCTAACAATCATCCCGAAATGAGAGAGGAACTGTACCTGTCCCATCGCACCGTAGTAAGGGTAGCCCAACATGAAACAGATATTTCCTGGTACGAAGATCTCGTGCATGCTTTTGTAGACCGGTGGGCTCTTGTAATAAATGGGAATGTCCATGACCACCGTCTGATAAACATAAGGTACGGGCGATTTTGCCCACTGTTTCTCGAGCGTCAATTTGCCTTGAGCGCCGAAAATGTACTTGTTACCTAGGAAAGGACGAGCGTAAATCAGCACGTCCGTATGGCCTATAGATATCCCAAGACGCGACAAATATCTGCAGGCAAATTTACGCAGGTTATATTATATAATCTCAGTTCTCTTGGTGGAGCGCGCGAATCGTATCTTACGTCTCTCTGATATGTTTCACTTGTATATTCCATTCCGCGACTGACGGGCCTTTCACGTCTTCTTTGTTCACATTGTCGTGACTGTAACCTGCCAGCGAGTCGATTAAAGCGAACTTTGTATTGCAGTTAGCCACACCGACCACGAGGGCTTCCTTCAAGTAAGGCCAATCAACGTGCACGCTCTTTCCCAACAGCTGCGACGCCAAGTCCTCCAAATTCGGTGACTGTTCCGACATTATGTGCAATATCATATTTTCGCCTCGCGATGTTTGCTGGAACACTTTCACCTGTGCAAAAGTGAAATTCCGCGTTGACAAGCTGTTGAGAATCGAAACAACTTTGGAGATCTCACGGTAAACATGTACCTCCGCTTTCGTCAAACACGCCGTGTGAAGAATGTGATGCAGTTTAGGGAATCCAGGGTAATAAACGTTTACGTCGAAGCCCGGGGACAGCCCTCGGACCAGCTGCTGCTTCGGCACGAAAATGTCGTCACGATTTATCAGTGACACTTGAGCGTGACTGATAATTCCCGGGAAGTCCGATGTCGCCTGGTGAATATCCAGTTCTTCGTCGGTATATGAATACAAATGCATCTGTCCGTGCTTATTTCGTTGCTGTTCCTCTGCTGTTAACTGCTTTAAATGTGGCTGCATAGCTAAATACAGACGCGAAGGACGTAGAGGGAGAGTTTAAATTGATATCTTGAGTGAGAGTTCTATATTTCTGCGATAAATCTTTCATCGATATTTGAAATATAATCCACCTGATCCGCCATTTTTACAGATATGAAGATATTTCAATTTCAATTATACACAAATCTTTCGTAATTAAAATATCTTCATATCTCTAAAAATAGCGAAGATACTCCCGGCCGGGTGAAGTTATTGCACCCATTCTGTATATGGAGTGGAAGAATTTCTCAAAATATACGTATACTTTGTCATATCCGCAAAATTACCGGACATAGAGATAGTACGCACCGGCTAACAATAGTTTCTCGTCGATGAACGGAATAAGCACCACTGCTTCCCATTCTTGCCGCTTCCCGTTTAAATCAGTCTTGAAATCATTCGGATAGTAATCGATGATTGGAGAATTTTTTTCCACCAATAGCGATTGAAACGCCACTGGCAACAGGTCCTTGCTATATGATGGTAATACAGCCAGTAATTGTTCGAATGGTAAGAACGGTTCTCCCAACTCAAATTCCAACTTCAGATCTTTGAAATCCTTTATGTCTGAAATATACGGGGCATAATGATGTGGATAGTACCACGACCAGTTGCAACAGCCGTTATAATAATAATTCAAATTCCATTGTATCGCTCTCACATAACCCTCTGCTTGTGAACGTAAAAAGTCCCTGAAATAAAAATTTGATCAATATAATAAGAATATTATTATAAATATGATAATGTGCGTACATTACATGTGCGATCAAATTGTGGCCTGGCAGACAGATCCCTCGTGGAAAAAGTCGCACATTTATAAAGGGGTTACTTACGCATCAACATTTTTGTACTCTAACTTGTTCATATAATAATCTCTTTTATGCTGTACAAATTCCATTTGATATATATCACTGTCGGATTCATCGTCCAAATCGTCATCCTCGTCGGAATGTCCTAAGGACTGTATTAAGCAGAATTAAATCACTTGCTTATTATTCAATTATTGAAAAGCATCGCAAATGAATACCATTTCTGTGGTAGATTTAATTAAAGCGTCTAAATCTTTATTTTGTATCTTTTTGGGAGATGCAGCTTCTTCGTCTTCCGATTTCTTATATACATGACGTTCAGATTCATTAGGCTTTCTACCTGTTTTACTTTCAAAATACTTCAAGTCAGCATAATGTTCGTTAAACTGTTCTACATCTAAACGACTAAGTCTCTCCATAAACTTCTCGAAACGGTTCAGATTTAACGTTCCTGCTTCATTTATATAACCTAAAGCATGATTAAACACTTAGGTTTATAACTAACGTAAAGACGTGAATTTTGCTAACTTATCGCTAATTAATTAATTACATACCTTCGAACGTTGGTAATACTTCCATATACGCACGGTACAGAATTGGCAGTGCACCGTTGGCAATATGTAAATTTGGCAAGTGGGGAATAAAATCATTTCCCACAAGGAATCCCATTAGAACCCAGTCATCGATTATTTTCTCAATATCATATGGAAAAGATATTTTGTATTTAACCGGCGAAAATTCATGATCTAAATATTCTCGTAAGAGCGACAAATGAAGAAGGCAGAACTTCGTCTCTTCGGGAGTCTGAATCCTCTTTTGCTTCTTACCAAACTTAACTTCCTCTCTTAAAAGAGAGAAATTTGGCTCATGCGAGCATAGACCTAACATTATTAAATCGGCATCTAGACCATATAAACAATGTCTAGAGTTAATGTCATAATCTTTACTTGCTTTCATATATCTTATGAAATCCATAATCTTGTGCTCTCCCTCTCCAGGGACCTAAAACAGATTTAATCCACTGTGGCGTCATAGAAAATCTAATTTTACATAGTAACAAATATTACATCCGTACGCATTATTTCTCTGAAAAAGATTATACTATATACATCTGTTTCCCTTACATTATAATTTCAAGATAAAATTACCTCAGAGCCACTGAATAGTACTTTACATTTTTTCCAAGCATCATCTGTAGAAATCTTATGTACAATAAAACGTTTGAGCTGTTTAGCGAGTTCAGCCATAAAGAAGGTTCCTGGGGTTATACAGTTCGAATCAAATTTTTTTTCCTCGGGTATTTGAATACCCTGTGCCAAAGCTTTAGCCTCTTGTATTTCAGCGTCCTTGGCAGATCTAAACCGCCGGCCTCTCTGTTGATTAATTTTAGCTCTAGGTGCTACCCCGTCTATTGCCATAAAAAATAGCTTCTGCGGCCGTATCATGTTAAATAATACTTCTACATAGTGGTATATATTTTTAAAAATGGTATCCTCAGAAATACGAAAGTGAACATCATTGTCATTCGGATGTGAACATGTATGTATGATACCATTCATGTCTAAATATAAATAATCAAATTCTGGCATCTGAAACAGATGGAAAGTAGTCTTTTTAAGAAAACTGTTACATGATGTTGGAAAATTGTTCCACTGACTTTCGAAAAGGTTGATCATTTAAGTGGACACAAAAACGAAACTGAAAAGGTTTTACCTTATAATTTGCATGTAATAATGTGTGCGATAAAAAAGAATGATGATACAACAGGTAAACAAAGGCGAGAAAGGAGTTTTTTTTTTCGTTGTCAAATACCTGATATTCCTTGATCGTTTCGCTGAGGCAGGGATACCTCTCGCTTATGTATCTGAAGAATTTCGGGACACCCATCTTGAGGTACGCGTTTTACCACCGAGACAGTACGATTCAACTGTGCCCAATTTACTGAGTCCCTTTCTTCGTAAAATTGTTCTATCAAAATTAAAAGTTTTGGTTGTAAGCACACCACAGCACTTCAATGATAAAGCCTAGACCACTGGTAATACGATGATGGGAAAACGTGACTTTCGATTCGCGCAAGGACGCCATTTCTACGGCCGGTATTCATTGGGTGCGTTCGGGGAGACATTATTAGCGCTTTAAAAGCAAACACTACTGCTAAAGCCCATATTGGGGTTTGGATTGAATTTGGTCAAACAATGCAAAGTTAATATTGAAATTCAAGTACAGTGAACTTTGCATTGATAAATTGCAATCGAATCTCAATCCTAATCCGTAGTCTGATATATCGGAGGCAGTGTGAATCCTGCATAGGAAGAAAGCCAGGCACACGCGGATATGCGTACGAACCGTCAGTGCGCGACGCGCGCTTTAACGCCGTTCGGCTGCGTCGTGTGATATTTAAATCACTTTAAATCCGGCCGGGCATAACACGCACGATTACACCGGATCCTGAGGAAGGATCGGTGTTCGAGATAAAGAGACAGGGCAGGCGGGTAGAGGCATACAAGATTCCTCGGAGTCGGCTTGAGCGCGCGTGGCGGCCGGCGTGCGTCACAGTTATGGTTTGAGCGGCGCGTAAAATGATGCTGAGGAATTTCCCGTTTCAATGGGTCCTGGCGTCGATCTTCACCGTTGTGATAATCTACCTCAGGCTGCGAATATGCCAACTGGAGGAGAGCTACAGATCGTTGCGTACGTGTTTTCACAACACGAGAGCATAGCCTCGATCAACACGTCCATTGTGCGATAATAAACGCAGGTAATCCTTTTGTTTACAGACGACGCTGTCGTGCAGGCGCAAATTGACGTTAGGAACGGGGCGCACGGCATCCCGGAGGCGACGCACGGCAGCGGGATCCTCGACGACATCGTTGTGATATATAACAGGGTGCCGAAGACTGCCTCCACCAGTTTCGTGGGGCTGGTTTACGACCTGTGCAAGCAGAATAAGTACCATGTACTGCACATCAACGTGACCAATAACATGCACACCCTAACCCTCAGCAATCAGGTGCTGTCGTATTTTCAGAAAAATCCGTATCTTTTTGGCCACTTCGAATTTCTTTATCGCGACTCTAAGGGATTATATTTGATTGTCTTGCAAAGTGCAAAATGAATTCTGGTGAAGCTGTATAATTGCATTTTACATATCGAAGTAATATGCTACTGTTTAGTTTCATCTATGTATACTTCTCTTGGAAATTACTATGGATTAGATCGTATCGTTAATGAATACGTGTTACATATAGGTTCAATTTACAAACAATATTACAAATTGGAATACGATAAAACCAGCATTTTACCATGGACATATGGCATTTTTAAATTTTGAGAAGTAGGTACAACGAATCTTAACGGTTACTGCAAAATCAAGTGAATGCATCTGTTTTGCTCACATCTTTATTTTACAGATTTGGTATTAAACGTACACCTTTGTATATAAATTTACTGAGGAAGCCTTTAGACAGATTTGTATCTTATTATTACTTCTTGCGATATGGAGATAACTTTAGGCCTCACCTGGTAAGGAAGAAACATGGAGATACAAAGGTTTGTATGTTTATATGGAAAAAAAAAAATACAAAATACATTCGCCTAACTTGATTATGTTTGTTTAGACATTTGACGAGTGTATAAGTATTGGTCAGCCTGACTGTGATCCAAATAACATGTGGCTGCAGATTCCATTTCTGTGCGGCCATGATCCAGCTTGTTGGTGAGTGAAACTTTTTGTTCCTTATATGTAGTTTTATGAATGAGCGATATCGGAATAACAATTTTCGACAATATTTTGTAGTTTGTGACGTGAACACTGTGCGATATTTATTATCAGTATTATCATTATGTTATTCGTGCTTCGCAACAGGGAGGTTGGTAATAACTGGGCATTAGAAGAAGCCAAACGAAACTTACAGAGGCATTATTTCCTGGTCGGCGTGACGGAGGAATTAAATGACTTTGTGGAGATATTGGAAAATGTATTACCGCGATTCTTCAAAGGGGCGTACGGTTTCTTTTTGCACAGTAAGTTCACGAGACCGATAAAGTTATTAAACATTTTAGTGTGAATGAACGTCACGTTTCAATCACATTATCACAGTGTTGACGATACAATAGGCGCTGCCTTCCTCGTTTTCAGACAACAAGTCGCATTTACGACAAACCACTCAAAAACTCAACCCACTACCTGAGACAGTGGACAAGATTCAGCAGTCCGTCGTGTGGAAGATGGAAAACGAACTGTATAATTTCGCTCTAGAACATTTTCACGCCGTGAAAAGGCGGCTCCTAAATGCTTCCCCCCAAGACGCAAATCAACGCTTTATGTACGAAAAGATACGGCCAAAATAAATCTCTACTTTTTTACGTAGACCTTTGCTTGAAGAGTAATTACATCAAATCTCTCTCACAATGTTCTGTGGCAGGTGATCACTCAATGCGTATTGATATTGTTGTGACTGAATGCAACCCTCCGTTAGTCGCAATATTTTTCACTCATGAATGGTATACAATGTATCTCATATATACACTAATTTTCTCATTAATTTCCTCCATTTCTTCCGAAGTTTTTTTTTTCTCATCAACATTTGATTGGCAGATCAGGCACTAGAGTATGTAAAAACGGTGAAAAACAAAGAGAAGGGAGAAAAAACATCGATATGGGCGAGTTCGATTTTGGAGTCGTAAGCAACGACGGTAGATCGTATCCTGAACGTGTATCTGTTGAATATTGTAAGTGACGGAGGGTTAATTGTGAAATCATATGATTACGTGTGTCCGTTGTATCCACATGTTCGTGTTATTCATGACAAGGAAGACTGATAAAGATTGATCTCCTAGATACGTTTGTGATCAACATTCCGCTGTCATACATTTAGTTGATCGTTTTCGTGTTTCCACTTTACCGCGAGAATGTAAGCGAAAGTGTTAGCACCGAGAACACCGCGATTATCGTAATAACACATGCGTGCGTGCGAAACGCAACGATACTTATCCTCTTTCTGTGAACTACACAAAGATGTAATTTCTAAGCCTTCGTCTCGTAAGTTCTTTATAAAAAGTTCTAAGAAACTAAAATAATTTAAGTATCAATCTACCTCGTTGGCATGCTATTTTAGGAAAAAAAAAAAAGAAAAACTGTACACTTAATTTATATATTATGCGTCGCTGATTAAATGATCGCAACAATTTGTCGGTCTAAGAGCAAACATATAAACTGGATACAAACTGCGGGGGAATTTTGTCTGCTGTTGTTCCTTGATACAAGTGAGATCGGCTTTCTCGAACAAGGATTTCAAGCCATTCAGCGATCTAGTTACAGAAGAATCCTCCTTATCAATTTCCAAATTATTTGAGCTAGTAATATTTTCCTTCACTACAAGTATCCCATTGTCTTTCAAGCCCAATCTACAGATTCAAGTCATTGAGTGGAAAAAAATCGTGCTTAGTCTCTTTTTTTCATACGGTAAAAAGTAAGAGTTAGAACTCACATGCATTTCTTGAAAAATTCGATCAAATGGTCGTCCTGCAGATGTCCTAACACCCACTGACACCATATAATGTCGTACTTACTCGCCGTAGGGCAGAAATTTTGCAAGCCTTGAAAGAAAAATTCGTTTACATTTCTGTCGTGTTGAATGTTCCGGTATTACAGATCAGTTGTATCACCGATAGGATAATATTGTCCAATCCTCGAGGAATGGTTTTCCAAAGATATCTTTGCTACCTCCAGAAACTTTGGATTCTGTTCAACCAGATCCACGTGTTTGAAGTGTTTGATCAGCAAATTTTTGGTAATCCTGCCGATACCCGCGCCGCAGTCCAAGGCGAACGTTTTGCCGGGTGCATTGTTTAACTAAAACAGGTTACGACAATTTAACACATTTATCGTTTCTTCCAAGTTTGCGCATCGGGCTTTTTTTACGAAAAATCGAAACGTCGGATACTACAGTACATACCTCGAAAAGGGATTTGAGAAAAACCGTGGAACCCTTTATGTCAGTCTGCGAGATAAATCCGAAGCCACCTAGCATCCCGTCCACCGTGGGTGGAATATGATCCCAGTATTTCGCGGCTGCAGTATAAAATTCGCCCTGACACGCGTCGTCCTGCATCCTCGCGCTCCAGTGCGTGTTTTGCGATCCTTTCAATTATTATATTGAACTACGAGTGGATTCGGCTCTCACAAAGTGCCCCGTATTCTTGACACGATGAGCATAAACATGGACATACTGCTAAAGTTACACGCAGCTCGTACGAGATCTTGGAAACGAGAATCTCTGTGCGACAGGCATCACACGAAGCACATGTTCCGATGATAGTGGATGACAACTGTCAACGACAATAACAGCACGTGTCAGCGATGGGATGCTAATGAAGATTATTCACGGATTAGAAATGATTGGAGCTGGACGATGATCGTTGGACGAACGAAGATGTTCGATTTCATTAAAAGATCGTGATTATTCAGGAGTTTTTGCGCTGAAACCTTTATTTGTAGTTGATGAAAGTAGAGACAAAAGTTTACTTGTCGATCGCGAAAGATGAAGTTCGTCGAATGTTGAATGATGTTACTTGAAAACGAGGAAACCTTTTGACCTGCTGAATATATTATTTGTGAATAAAAAGTCGTAAAACTTGAAAATAAAGGGACAGTTTCAACTAATGTTGAGTGTACTATTAGAAAACAAAAATCTGTCTGACCTACCGTTGAGTTGTATTCCGTTTCCTCACCACCATTGAACTATACTACTACACACATAGGGTGCGTTCCACTTAACGCCCACTGCGTAACTAGTTTTATAACTAGCTGGCTGGTGATGTGTCCCTCGCTCCGCCATTTTTCTCTTGATCTTTCATCATTGCCAAATTGAAACCTTGGTATTATAAGGTCTTAGCCGTCGGCACATGCTTGCTGGACGGCAATACTGTGTTCTAATCAGTGTATTTCTGTTACACATTGAAAAATGAAACTCCGGTCTGGTGGATAGTCTTCAAGGTATAGTTCAAATTCCAAACTAATTTAAAGAGACGTTCGGTCTCCGGCAAATTCAAATGAAGCGCATGCGTAGCAGCGCGACGTCGACACAATCTCATTTGTATTTGAAGCAACGAAGCGTATTCCGTGAGAACTGTCTATTCGATTAATTGCGTTTTGCGGTGGGTCAGTTTCTATCGAAAGACCTTTATCGCTCCCGTGCAATTAAATATACATAGGATGGCGCATACATCTTTCCCACTGGCAAAGTATAATGAGTAGCATTTAAACCCGCAATTTGTTACGTACTATCTTGCATCAGGACAAACGAGTGATATATTGGGTCGTGTCCTTCGAGTCTCGAATGCAGTGGAGAATGTTCGTCGCAATTCAATCAAACGAAGAATATAATTTCCGAAGTGAAAAATGTCACGAAATAATTTCTTTCTATACCAGTGGAAAATCGCCGAGAAATATAATATATGAACCATATCGCATGTAGAAAAATTCTTTTTTCCTTGGAATATTTCGCTGGCAGGATGCGAAAATTTTACATAATATCGCCTTGATACATATCTCGATATATATATTGATTGTTGCAATTTTGGGCATTAACAACTATGGCAAACGTCATCGGACATGACAAGTGGTTTTCGAAGTCGACGCTATCTCACGTGAGAGGAGAGTATCTCCAGCGAGAGGACAGCCATTTTGTCAAGTGGCAAATGACCGGCACTCGGCCGCTTGCATAGTCACTACGCTGCCTCATAGTTCCGGCTGTTTTTCGACCTTTCGAATTAATCGCCGACCAAACTGATCGTAAGTCATTCGCTCGCCTCGACGATAAAATCGCCGCGATAAAGTAGAAGCTATAAAACTGAAAGACCGCTAAGAATGGCAGCAAAAGAGCTGACAATTCTCCCGTTTTGTCGGAAATGTTCGGTTTCGAGCGACGCGTCCGGCCGATCCAATTATCACGATTGTCGCCGCGATGCACGCCGACGAAAATGCACCGTTGCGAGAACTCGCCGGCCGATTAACTTGACATTTGCTCAAACGAGGGCGACCGCCACTTGCACGCCTATCCGATTAGTTTCTTTTTCCTCTCGCGGGTCGAGGATCATCGCCGGGGCACCGAGGAGTTTTCGTAACGACGACAACCGTCGGCCGGTCAGGTGGGGGTAAAGAGAGGACGACACGAAGGTGGAGGACGTGTACCAGCACGAAACCGTATACAACTTTACTACGTAAAGCCTCGCGGCATCGACGAGGACGGAAGGTGGGGCGCTTCTATCCCTGTGGAGGACCGTCCACCTGAGAATGATGCCCCGCTCGGGTGGGAGGAATTTAGGTTACTCGTACCACTAGGGAATGTGGGCCGACTATATACCGGCTCATCGCGGCTGCTCGTCAGTTCATTCCTTCCACGTATTTCCGATTCGTCGGATCCAGCACTCTCCGTTCTACTCGTCGAATACCCGTGGTCGTCGTTTGGGTGCCGAAGTCCTCCCGTATTTCGCCCCTAAGCAAGTCCGTTGCTCTCGGACGGCCAAGAAGAAGAGGAACCACCTCCCTTCGAAACCCCGCAGCATCCTCAGTAAGTACGATCATTTCTCTTCTATTGCTTGCAGTTTATATTTTACTACTAATTTATAATTTATTTTTTAATGTAACGTACATTCTTCTTATGCATTTTTATTAAGTCTATTTTCTGTAACCAAAAGCCTTTGATTTCGAGCAAATATTACCGTTAAAAAGATTTCTATCAGACGTTGCGATTCCTCGGATTTCGGCAATATTGCGACTTTTGGTGGCGCGAGAAAATTCTTTTCGTCAGAAGTGACGTTACACTTGCTTCGAGCAAAATACGTACTCGCGAATGCTCAGGATATTAGCATAAGAGCTGACATACATCCGGAGTTAATTACGGAATTACCGAAGATATGACACAATCGTCTGTGCGAGCTCAGGGAATGCCTGCCTTTGTCGGTTCGGACGGAAGATGCGAAGGAAGTGGATGTTGCAGCAATTTACGAGCTTTTGTTGGCGGACGCGCTCGAAAGTTGCCGTCCGATTTTTGCCGATTCTGCTCGTCGGTCGATATGTTCCGTTTCGATTTCCGAGTTCGTATTCTCGGTATAACCCGAAGTAGATTAAGGCCAATGAACCTTTCGATCTGAAAATGCAGCGGCTACACGTAGCACGGCCGATCGTGATTCCCAGCACGGACACCGGTTCGCGATGCAGCGTTACGGAATACCCGGCGTTTTATTTAAATAACGGCTTTCTCTCGGCGAAAATTCAACGTTGATTTTCGCGAACTCCCGCGTTTGACACTTAACATATTAAATATCTCCGCGCCTAAATCGCTCAGATTGAAAGTCCGTAGGAGCGTGTAGTGCTGTGATATTTTCGCCGAAAGTTGCAGCCGATATCCTCGTCACAATTAATCTCTATGCAGTGAAAACGCATCTAAGCGCCTTATATAATTATATTAATAACGGATAGAAAGGTAGATGGTATTATTTTCATGGCGATAGCCGAGAGGGAGGCAAGGAAAGTACGTAATTAGAGACGATGTTCGCGCGAATTACAACAGGTCGGACAGGCCCAATTGCTTCTTAGCTTGATTTAAAAATCGTTTTTCTCGTTACTATGCGCGCGGACACACACTTGCTTAGGATATTAGCATAAATATCAGCATAAAACGGCTCGGCTCGTCTATCTATAAATCTATAAATTAAAGACGAGAGAGAGAGAGAGAGGCACGTCTCTCACGTTTTCATCGTCCCTAACTTATAACATCCGCGTAGTCGGATAAATAACAGGCTCGCGCGAGATTCATCAACACGCGTCATTCTATCCCGACGTGTTTCTCCGCGCGATTCATTAGACGGATAAGTAAATGATCGCTTGTGAAAGTTTATACGCGCGCCGTGTGTGTCGTGCACACATACCGGGAATGTAACTAACGGATTCCGCTCGAGTTACCGTCCGACGCAGCACGTGGGTAATTTTTGCGACGCGTACCCGACAACGAGCTCAGCCGGGTGTGCGCAATAACGTCGCCGCTGTGCGCACCGGATAACGATCGGGATATTTCATTTGAGGAGCGCGTATACGCACTGACGTCGTCGTACATGCTTTTACACTTATTTATCGCTTCACTCTACTCAATACTGATTTACTTGCGATTTTCGTCCAACTTTTACCCAGTTTTTTACCTGATTTTCTCGCTGCACAGAAAAAAAGGAAACTGGAATCGACGTGAACGTAATTGTTCTTTTTTTGTTTTTTTTTCAGCATCCCTGAGGTGCCTTTAAGATATTTTTTCAACAATTTGTGCTATGCGGAACTGCACTAATTTGGAAGTCAAATTTAGCATCTTTTACTTAATGCTTTACTTAATTTTTTTTACTTCTTTATCTAATTTATCTACGCAGTTTTCGATTTTTCTCATATATGTATCAGGTTGAAAATCGTACGAGTTACTTGTAACGTTGAGACTTGGTGTACAATATCTCGAATCGTTCGTGACACGAGAAGCCGTCTCGCGCTGTTGCAACTTTGTGGGCAATCGTGAGGATCAATCTCACCATATCTAGCAGGGAATCCGCTGTTGCGATTGAGATCCGGGCTTTTCGGGTGCCCTTCGTTGCGCAACCGTGGAATAACGGCCGAAACTGTCATGAAGAATGACGGCCAGTCGATCTTGCGCAAGTTAATCTCGCGAATCGAGCGATTCGCATCGCGCCGACAAATTATTGACCCCGAGCGAACTTTTTTTCGCCATCCCCGCGATGTGGCCGCGTTTCGTAAGCATCTCCGAAGCCGCCGGACGGCTGTCCTCATCTCCACTTGTGCGCGTCCTTATTTCGATTGGTTGCGCCTCGTCTTACTTCGCGTCTTACCGCCTCTAATTAAGCTAATTTCGGCCGTCGAGAAATCGTTCAGGCGAAACATCTTCCGTTTTTTTTTTTTTTTCGAGTGACAGGATGCTTCTCGGCAATGAATACGTTACTTTGTCTGTATGGAATAATCACGCGTGATAAAGATGAAATTCTCGACGAAACGCACGCGATGAGAAGCTGCTTTTTGCAGCTTGGGAATTTCGTAAAACGATCCGCCTTAATAATTGCCGGCAAGGCATTAATAGCGGGCGATAGTGAACCGTAAGGGTCGACGATTTCTCTCTGCGTGCCGCAACCGTACCAATTATGCCGCGAGATCGTTTTCATCGTTTATGAAACATCGCAAGTTGATTGGTCAGCCGATCCCGTTTTACGAGGTAATGGCCGAAATAAATTCTTTACGCCGGCACGGTATTATCTCGCGGCATGTGAAATTGGTCGAATTGATCGTTTAGATCGCGCGCAGGTCAACTATGAAAAAAACGTGTGTGTAATACAAGCTGCGCCTCTCACCAAGGAGGATTGTTTCGAAACGCGTGCTTCGTTCGTATCAAGAGAGCTTCTTGACATTTTATCCTTTTTCACTCTCGCGCCTCATACGCGCAAAATGCGATTACATAAGTGAGCGCGCGGGTTATACGCGTATCTCGATGTACGGACACCTTTATACCCTTAATTCGTTTCGTCATTTGCTACGGGACGCTGAGCGTGTTTTATCTACGAAAGATAAATTCCTCTCTGAGCGCTTCCTTAATGTCTCAAGCCACCTTTTGGACTTCCTTTCACTTCTGCCGTGAGAAGTTCTAATTTGGGGAAAACTCGAATCTTCCTTTTAAGAGAGAGAGAGAGAGAGAGAGAGAGAGAGAGAGAGTCCGCCTTGTTTGTTCTCACAAAAATAATAAAATTCAATTCTCAATAAAATATTTTAGCACTTCATTATTATGAACCCGAGTCTGCTTTTTTTCGAGATATTTAAATACGTGATTACAAAGTGTTGACGGAGATTTTTTACATGTTTCGTAATTTCTCTCTCTCTCTCTCTCTCTCTCTTTCTCTTTAAAAGAATAAGCGTCTTTCATGCCGAGCTGCACCACAACGCATGTCAAACTTATCGAAATCGGTGGAACAGCGTTGCGAATGTATTGTTGCGTTGTGAAATAAATTTAGCGCTTTTAAATTTTCCTGCAGAAAGAGAGACGCGCGAGCACGTTGGAAAGTGTACGCGATTGTGCACTTTACGCTATCACCTGATTTCGACACTCCATGTGGGTAACAAGTTAACGTTGACGCGGTCCTTAAGAGGAGCTCCTGGCCGCGCATTGTGCGGAACAAAGCAGCAAGAGAGAGATTAATATCGTTATTGTGAAGTCGCCGGTAGTTAGCGCGCAAGTGAGATGACTATCGTCGTGGCCATAAACGCTTTCTCGATTGTGTACGCTTCGATTGTGTCGGCGAAACTTTAACCGCAATGGTTCTTCCACGAAGAGAGGTCGGGTTTTATCTTATATTTGAAAGTATTTTCCGATAGAATTCCTTTAATTGCGCTACATCGTTGATTTTCCAAAAAGCAGTGTCTAATATCGGCGCATGAGACGTCTTTATGACGATTTTAAGGCGTCTTAAAGATCTTATCTACAACCTTGTTTCAAAACGTAAGTAGTAAGCAAATTGAACAATCACAGTCGTTTATTAGAAGATTAATCGACCGTGGCTAGTCAATTTGCTTACGACTTACGTCTTAAAGCCATTTTAAAGAGGTCTTATGCATCGATTTTCGACATTGTGTTCATTGGGTTGAGACACAGCATCAAATATCTGAAGGAGGAGGAATTAAAATATAATAAGAGTATTAATTTTATTATTATTATTTTTATAAAATCGAAAATTTTAACTCTCAACTTGGAATCTCTGTTAGTATTCCACATAGAAGTACGTATTCAGAGAACATTCAAACGTCCTAAATAACCTCTTATTTACAACCTTGCTTTAAGATTTAAACAGTAAGCAAATCGACTAACCACAGTCGATTGTTCTTCTAATAAATGATCGTAGTTGGTGAATTTGCTTACTGTTTAGTTTTAAAGCAAAATTATAAACAAGAAGTAAGACATCTTCGAGACATCTTTTAGACATACATGTTATATGGATATGGCCCGTAAAAAAGCATAAAAAGGCCTCAACACTTTTTTCTCGACGAATTTCGCAACGCATTTCGTATATCCAATAGGAAAATGTCTTCCGAGAATTACTAGAAGACATTCTCCAAAAAAAAAAAAAAATGTTCAAACCTTTTTGTGAGTGACCATACTTATCACCGAGGAGCGAAATACAGTAATACGAAGAAAATGGAGAAAGTCAACTAATTTCGAGATGTTCATTATTAACCGGCCAAATAGAATTCGATTCGCCGGTAATTAAGAAAATCTCAGATTATTGTTCTCTACTTTTCAGATTCACAATATGACTCACGAGCGCGTTTCTATTTAAGTAGTAAGTCCCCGGCGGTGCTCAGACAGGAATCATTAACGAAGTGGAACAAGATCGTGATTATTCCCCCTCCCCCTCTCTCTGTGCGTGTTTCTTTTTAAATAGACAAGTTGAAGTCAAGAATCGATACACGACAAAGCGACCAGCAAATCGGCCGACTGATCCGACGGCGTGCTTTTACCATTTTTTTCTACGGACT